AACCAACACCTCCTAGAAGAGAAGGCTGTAGCGCTCCGAGTGGGCACGTCCAACGCACGTCACGATGGCGGAGGAAGGAAGGCCATGGCGCAACTACGTGAGAAAATACCGCTGTCGACGCGTATCGGCGCATTAATATTCGTGCGCGTTTATCCGACATTAATACACTTTTAAAAGTGCAGTCTTGTCCAATTTATTATATATATATATAACAGGGTGTCGAACCGGAACCGAACCAAACCGAAAACCGGAACCGAACCGGTATTTTTTCCGGAACTGAACCTGAACCCGAACCGTTATAATGTTATCGCGATGAACCCGAACTCAACCGGAAAAAAAATAACGGTTACCGGCTCATGTCAAAACGGTTCGGCCACGCGCTGTTGACAATGAATGTGCTATCAATGCCATTTGTTTTTAAGTGCCGTCAACTGACACACACCTCGCTTACATATTTTTCTTCTCCACTCAGTCTTAGGAATATAAACGCTGCATCCATGAATCTTGACATAGGAACCAGTATTGCGCTGGTCGCGGCTTGCATGGAAAAAGGAAAATTAAAAGGCTGTGCAAAAAAAAAAAAAAAAAAAATCGCGTCACGGGATTTTATTTTCTTACAATCTCGTAAATCCTAAATGCTGCTGTGCGCTCATTTCATAACACGTTTCTAAAACGCGCGAGTTCTTGAAGCTTGCTTCCATCGGAATGAGAAAAGAAAAGGCTGTGGAGTTTGATAATAATGCATCCGGTTTCGTATAAACACTTCGAAGCTAACATAATTGTGAGACAGCGAACTCTTCTATTTTAATATTATTTACCATATTACGTCCTTCTGGCGTTGCGTTCGGTGGAGTGTTTTTCATATTCCGTATCTCGTTTAATGAAAAAAGGCTAGTTCAAATAAAGAAAGCTGTATTTTCTCCCCACTGTTCTTTCAATTGCTTACACGCCGAGGTGGCGGGATAGTTAGCGAGTTCTACTTGTAAGTGGGTTTGTAAGGAGGTCGCGGATTTTACAGCTACTGCGTCGGACCCAATTAGATGAAGTCCGAATGCGTAAACGTCGGTGAGGTAACCTTTGAGTGCACATAAAGAAACCATTCCTGGTAGAAATCCCTGAGACTTACACTACGATGTATCCCGTTTCGTATGTGCTGATTTCAGATGTATTATTTGTAATTTATTTTGATGTTGCAATTTGTCACTTATAATTTCCGAACCGGTTCGCGAACCGGTTCAGCGTCCCGAACCGGTTCGAGAACCGGTTCGCGGATCGAATTAATCGAACCGGAACTGAACCGGAACAAAATAAATTTACCTGAACCTGAACCGTAACCGAACCCGTATTTTTTTCGGTTCGACACACAGATATATATATATATGGGTGGTTTCATCTCAAATCGTGCAGGCAAAAAGGGTCGAATTTTTAATTTCGATGAAAAAAATATATGTTATGGCGCCGTTTCTAAAACCGCAGTCGACACAAACCGCAAGTTCGTCGGATTTTTTGTTCTCGACTTATGAATTTTTAAAGAGGCCGTGGCGAAAAGCAGTGTCTTTCACACCCGTCGTGGGTCGGATGCTTCGCTTAATCTCCCGCCATGGATTTTCAGTCCACATTATATTATCTTTTTTGAAGCACTCTGTGGACACATTTAAAAGGCTCCAATAGCATGAAATAATTTTAGGCTTTTTGCTTTTTTTCTGTAAAAATGTCAAAAACGCCTCCTCGGTCAATTGTTGACGAACTTTGACAATTAATTACTGGCGATCTACTTGGGTTACACCGATATTTTTTATGTCCACGGAGAGCCCAAAACACGCTATTTATATTTATTATAAAATGACTTGGTTGTATAAAATACCCATTGCGGTACGTTTACGTTAATATTATGCAAAAACCAAAAAGTACCATTTTTGCATTAGAATGGCAATCTGGGCTAGTTGGTTCATGATAACTTTCAGGGCGCCGAAAATACACAAGGACAAGATACAAGAAAGGAGACGTGAACAAGGAGCACTCGCAACTAGCGTTTATGAAAAAAACAACACAGTCATACCACACAGCCATACTACACAGTCATACTACACAGTCATACTACACAGTCATACTACGTCCGGTGTAGCCCCCTTCGTAGAAAAGTGTGCTCTTTTGCCGATAGTGACACAGACGTGTCACTAATGCAGTCCTTGCCCTTTTCTTTTATTTCGAAGGCCTCGTGCAGCTCCCTCGATATCCGATCGGCGTATCTGGCCAAAAACCTCGTGTCACTAAATGACGGTGTGCAGGAGCAACGGCTGCAGTGCGTGGCGAGGTGTCCCGACGGGGTAGCCCGTGTAGCCGCAGCATGTTCGCGGGCGCGATCATTAAAGCATCTGCCCGTTTGGCCAATGTAGTACGATGATCCGCATGACATGGGGATTTCGTATATGACGCCCGTAGCACATTCCGTGTACCTGTTGCGGTGCTTCGTATTGCAAGGATCTGCTGACTCACGGGGATTGTTGATTCTGCGACACAGTCTCGATAGTTTGTTTGGTGCGGAGAACACAATAGGCACATCGTACCTATCAGCAACCTTTTTAAGATTGTGGGTTAGTGAGTGTACATAGGGGATTACCACCGGCCTCACTGCTGCTCTTTCACGGGGCTGCCTCCGTGTGCCTTTGAACTTTTTTTATTAGGGTGTCCGCTACATCCACCAGAACTCTCTGCGGGTAGCCCGCTTTTTGCAACCTCGCTGCCTCTCTCGTGAAGCTCGCTTGAGCGGTGTGTGCACATGATCTTCTTAGTGACGCCTCGAGACAACTAGATGCAATTCCTCTTTTTACAACTTCCGAATGGGCCGAGCTGAACGGAAGGATACCCTTCTTAGAGCGTGGCTCATATGTCCAGCATATGTGATTTTCTTCAAGACTTAGCCTAAGGTCCAAGAACTGTATATGCCCGTTCACTGGCTCTTCATGCGTGAACGACAACCCATCCCCGCATAACCTAAATATGTCAAGCACTTCTCCAACCCCGCAGCTCGGTGCGTCAGCGGGTCTGCCGAGGACAAGAAAGTCGTCCACATATCTGAAGATGCGACACCGGTTCGCGTCGCCCAACCTCTCGGCAATCTTTCTTCCGCACACACTTAAACCCTTTTTGCCTGCACGATTTGAGATGAAACCACCCATATATATATATATATATATATATATATATATATATATATATATATATATATATATATATATATATATATATAAGGTTGCTTTGTCGTATTCTGTACACGTTTCCAAGATAGGCTCCTGTGCGCTGCCATTGTTAGCGATGCTAGCGCCACGTAACGTTTCCGCTTCGCCACGTTGAGTGGGCAAGGGGCACGTCGTGGAAACTAGGGGTGTCGTGAACCAGCCAAGGTTCGAGTTCGACCAGGTTCGATTTCTTCAAATTTTTTGGTGGGAAGGTCGACGAACCTTGTATTGAGGTTCGACTCATGTGCGCATGCGCGACAGGCTGGCCAGTTGGCTTCGGATTGGATGGTGATGGCTAAGGAATGAATTAAGGGCACCGCTGATTGGTTATTTCAGCTAATACAGTACAAAAAAATTAAGTTATTAACTTCTTCGGTGATTATAATTAGTTTCTTTTAATTGCAACTGTTCATAAAATTAAAATAACCCTTGCATAAAAAAACATTCTCCAAACCTAGACATGCTTGTATCAAGGTCTGGCCACACTGTCCATAAAGTCGAACCGGCCGTATCTGGTAAAACGTTCGAAGGTTCGTCGACCGGTTCGACCCAGTCGAACTCCGAAAGTTCGACCTAAAAATCCGGTTCGACAAAAGTTCGCGACACCCCTACTGGAAACTAGGGGTGTCGCGAACCGGCCGAGGTCGAGTTCTACCAGGTTCGACTTTTTCGAACTTTTAGTGGAAAGTCGATGAACTTTGTACTTAGGTTCGACTCGTGTACGCGCGCGAGACAGGCTGGCCAGTTGGCTTCGGATTGGATTGTGATGGCTAAGCGATGAATTAAGGGCAGCGCTGAACGGTTATTTCAATTAATACAGCACAAAACATTAAGTTATTAACTTCTTCAGTGATTAGAATTGTTTTTTTTTAATTGCAACTGTTCATAAAATAAAATAAACCTTTGCATAAAAAACATCTCCAAACCTAGACATGCTTGTATCAAGGTCTGGCCACACTGTACACAAAGTCGAATCGGTCAAATGTGGTGAAACGTTAGAAGGTTCGTCGGACCGGTTCGACCTAGTCGAACCCCGAAAGTTTGACCGTAAAATTCGGTTCCACAAAAGTTCGCGACACCTTAGTGGAAACCCACTGATTTCTAGACATAAAGATTAGTGTGGAAGCCAGAGCTGCCGCAAGCGCAGTCATCATTGACGCGATGGCCATGCGGCTTCTGGTGCTTTCTGATAAACGCCTTGAGACTTCAGGCTTTTTTTGGCTTTTTTTTTATTATTTGGATTAGGTATTTCATTTTATGGTCTGTGCTCTTTCGCAGTCGAAAACAACAGATGAATGTTTTAAAAATCATTTTAGTCTCTGCGCTCAGTGGTGTATGCTTCAGGAAGAGACGTTTAGCAACATTGTGCAACAAGCAGCGAACGTCCTGGTTGGACAGTATAGACAAGGGTTTTTCGAACTTTTGTCAAACCGGATTTGTAGGTCGTACTTTCAGGGTTCGACTAAGTCGGACCGGTTCGACGAACCTTCAAAATTTTCACCAGATTCGACCGGTTCAACTTTGTGGACAGTGTAACCAGACCTTGGTACAAGCATGTCTAGGTTTGGAGAATTTTTTTTTTTTTTATGCAAAGGATTATTTTAATTTTGTGAGCAGCTGCAATTAAAATAAACTAATTTTAATCACAGAAAAAAGTTAATAACTTAATTTTCTTGCACTGTATTAACTGAAATAACCAATCAGAGCTGCCCTTAATTCATCGCTTAGCCATCACCATCCAATCCGAAGCCAACTGGCCAGCCTGTCGCACATGCCCATACGAGTCGAATCTCAATACAAGGTTCGTCAAACTTTCCACTAAAAGTTCGAAAAAGTCGAACCTGGTCGAACTCGAACCTCCGCCGGTTCGCGACACCCCTAGTATAGACCATAGAGTTATTATAATGTACGCTAGAGGTTCAACTGGCGCTATAGTGTGCTGCTGCAGATTGAAGCAGACAGTAACCAGTCGGAAATTGACTTCCGGTAATGCATTTCTATGGGAAAGAGCGAGTGCATTTTCTCTCTGAGTTCGATTTTAAGGCCAGATATCACGAATAATTCGTATGTGTTAGGTACATTGGAACATTTCTCAGTCACGTAGACGAAATAATTGGCCAGTTATGGCGTTTTCATTTGAAATTCGTTGCATAAAAAAACTGTGCTAAAACGGCTTCGTATATGCAATTTTGTGCACTGTCGGACCCTGTTAGCGCGAACACGGCGTCGGCGCTTTCCAGCATGGGGGATATACGTGCCAAACGAACGAAGAACATGTGGAAAACTCCTTGTGCATGCAGACGATCAAAATAAATTGAAAGTCACGTAATATAGTTCGATTTGTAATAAATAAGTACTGCTTTATTTTTCTGCTCATGAATACGCGCGAAGATGCTAGCTTGTTCTGGGTTAAAATCATCATCCGCACGCTTCAAATCTTTGCAGATAGGGAGAAGCCGGGGAACAGGTGCCTGATAAAAACTTCCCGACATACGAAATAATAAAAATACACACCGTTCCTAGCCCACGTTCTTTAGTTTTTTTAGGTTCGAATGTTTCTTTAACCGATCGTAAAGATACACGACGGAGTAATTTTAATTTAGTGATAGGACGGGCATATTAGTAATATATAAGCGCCACCGGAACGCTAGCGAACCATGAACACACTCTCCATCCAGTTCGCTCGTTATTTGGCTTAGAATCGTCGCTCGTTTTTACATACCTGCCATGGAACCATGTGCAATGTACACCAGCTCGTTTGCGCCCTTACTTTTTGTACTTTTTGAACAGAGGCTTGTGTCTGAAAAATAGCGAAGTTTAACATCGCTCAGTGGTAAAGAAAAATGCTGTAACTAAAGCAATTACACTTTCACAATATTAATAAAAGTACATACTATCCGGTACAATAAAATAACAGAAGTTATTCATGTTATTTTCAGGCGAAGAGACAAAATTCACGCGCGTTTTCCCACAGGAATGCACAGGAGCACCGCAAAAGTAGACTGGTTGCTGTCTGCTTCAATTTGCCTCCCGGAAGTCGCATAGCCGAATTGAACCTCTAGCTAACATTATAATAACCTCACAACGGGATCCCGCTTGCAAAGGTGTATCATAATGTGGTCTACGTTCCGTTGCATCTTGAAGTCGATCCGACCGCAGCCAACGCTACGAACCGATGTGGTGCCAATCGAGTGTCACCAAAAGAGCATCGTCGTAGCGCACGTCGTCTTCGTGCATTTGCCGTCACCAACTAATGTCACATTCAATTGGGGCGCACCACACTGCACCGCACTGCACCGACGGACGCGTCGCGTTCACATGGTCGTGTCGGTGCGGCTGCACTACGTTCATTTGGGACTTGGTGCGGCGCACGACACCGGCGCGTTGCTGCACCAGCTGCACCGTCGAAAGGGGACCGTGCAGCTTCGCGCACTGCGGGCCGGCGCGGCCTTGAGCTACCGCTCTCCACCTCCTTCGGCCCCTTCTTTCCCTCGCTTCGTGTTCCTCGTCTCGGTAAACATGGCGGCTCGGGAGACTCTCGCTAGATGGCGCGCGCCGCCACCGCACTCGCGGCGGATTTTGTTCAGTGGTCCACCCGTTTATGCTTTGCCCTTGAAGTGACCGCGCCAAGCGTATTGCAAGGCGGAATGCTTCGTGTTCACTTGGTAGTGCGTCATACGCTGCACCCGCGCGGTGGCGCGGCCTTGGGGGCAGCACTTTCTCGGTGCTGCGTGCGCCCCAACTGAATGTGACATAAACTTAGCACGCACAGTGAATGCGGCGGATATTAGGGAATTTTAGGGAACCCTTTTGCCCATCCGGTACGGTACGATGGGCCGTCCAGTAAGAACTGCGCATGCGTAGTTCGTGACGTAGGGCTCATCGTGCCGTAAAGGATGGGCAAAAACGGTTCCCTAAAACTCTTTGTTGGGGAATTGTAGTAGACCGTTTCCGCAGCCCGCTAAGCACCCGGATAGCGCTCCGTAATCCGCCACAAGATCTTGAACTATGCAGATAAGGCTGACGGCGCGCATGCGCAGCTGCGGCGTTTTGCTCGCGGATACCGTACCGGAGGAAAAAAACGGTCAACTACAATTCCCTATTGTCCAAGACAGCCTCATGGCGAATATCCGCAAAGAGATATATGATTTTATCCCGAGAGACTGACGTCGAGCCACGGGTAAGACAGAAACTGATTGCCTGTAGCTAGTTACAAGGCACCGACGGTTGGTGCCGATTAGCAATTCGTAAAATCTCTCGGCACGGATTTTAAGACAACCAGAAGTGTACGCACGTGAGCGTTCGTAAAATCGTATACAAGAAAAAAAACTATTTTACAGGTGAAGAGTGGAAGAAGGTGCGCAACGTGCTGAATCCCAGCTTCACCACGGGCAAGGTGAAACTCTGCTCCGAGATTGTAAGCAGATGCACCGAGGAACTTGTCAGGGTGCTGAAGACGCATCACGAGCAAAGTGAGCCTGTCGATTTGCTGCAAGTGGCGCAGGGTTACTCCTTGGACGTCATCACTAAGATTGCCATGGCCTGGAAGGTAGGCCCCGCAATATTACCTCGTGTAAAATATGCAAAAATAGAATACACTACTCTCAGATATTAAACAATAAGAAACGATATATAAACATGCTTGTATGTATAGTTTTATGCTTAAAAGATACCATTTTCGGTCTGACAAAGGTCGTATGTAGACATCATTTACAAAAAAAGCAGTGCAAGGACAACTTACTTGGGAATTTGTTGAGTAAAACGGGAAGGCGGCTTTTTACAAAATCGCAAGCTCATCAAAGGAGTGACTCTACAATAGTTATGTCGTTCAACGAAGTCGAAGTATCAATGCATTATTCGAAGAGTAAAATTGACAAGAAGTACACGGTAGAAGATGAACATTTGAATAAAACAAATTTATGCAAGAATCGGATAGCAAAATAAAGACAATGTTAGTTGCAAGGGAAAAAAGGGTAAAGGATGAACACATGTAGAGACAGCCTGTGGTAGAGATTGATCAAAGAGTAAACTAGAGGATGAAGACAAAAAGAAGGACCTTGATTATACTGCGTGTCACTAGTCTGCAACGCTGGCGAAGGCAACGGCAGGCGAAGAGAGAAATGGCGAGCACTAGCAAGGCTATGGCACTAGGAAGGCAGGACAGGAGAGGATGGCAATGGGGGGCTAGGGGAGAAAGGGAGAGCACTAGGACAGTTAAAGGGGAGAGGACGTTTCCCTCCTCCTCCCCAGCCTTCCTAGTGCTTGCTCTTTCTCCCCTCACCTGGCGTCGCCTTCGTCTGTACTTCACGCAACTAGTGACACGGAGTCTAGTCAGGTTATGATCCGAAATAAGACATTTAGAAAGTGAAAGAAATGCGTAACGTGAAAATTAAACTATTTTGATAAATTATAATTTATTATTTTGTTTTCGGGAACAAATTCAACGACAGCAAAGACACTTAGGTAAAAAATTGTGTATGAAATACTGAAGCGCTATTTCTTCCATCAGGTGAACTGTCAACAAAAGACAGACGATCCCCTACTCATCGGAGTCAAGAGGCTGTTGGAGGACCTAGACAAAGCAATTGTCGAAAGCTCACTAGCACTGCCCGGGATAAGGGCGGTCCTCAAACTTCTCTACCCACTCACAAGCTTCAGCAATCTCCTGAATCGTATTTGTGAAAACGTGCGGGACACAGTAAAGTGTCGACGTCAAGATCAAAGTCTCCGGGAGAAGGACATGCTACAGATGATGCTCGACGCCCAGGCCGGCACCGAAGACGCTGCTTACGACGTTCACAAAAGCGGTCTGCTCATCGAGGACCGTCATCTCGTCTCCAACTCCATCGTCATTCTCCTCGCAGGCTTCGAGACCACGGCAGTGACACTGGGCTTTGCCCTATATCTTCTCGCTATGCATTCAGAAGAACAAGAGAGGGTTCACACCGAAATGGAGGACCTGTTTTCGCACGCGAACAAACTGACATTTGACAACGTCCATCACCTTAAGCATTTAGACATGGTGATCCGCGAAACTCTTCGTTTGTACCCACCAGTTCCACTGCTGGTAGCTAGGACCTGTCTTTTGGACAAACCAGTCATGGGTCAATTCATTCCAGCAGGAACCACGCTCATCGCACCAGCTTGGCACATCCACCGAAATCCGGAATACTGGCCCGAACCCTCTTGGTTCCTTCCAGAGAGGTTCGCCGAAGGCCATCCGGAACGCCATCCTATGGCGTACTTTCCCTTCGGGATAGGGCCCAGGACATGCATCGGGAGGCGGCTCGCACTGATCGAACTTAAGATGTCGATCTGTAAAATTTTGCGCGACTTCAAGCTCGTACCGTGCGAGGAATCCCAGTATCCTGTCCCACTAGTGGTGCCTAACTTGACACTTCGCCCAGGTGTCGGCCTGAGGGTGAGACTGGAGATGAGGCGAAAGTGTAAGGACTGAACACATACGATACAGCCGAATGTCTCCACTCACAATCTACATAAAGAGAGCGCAAGGCAAAACTTGGTATGTATCCTAGGTGACCAGATGTCCCGTTTTGACCGGGACAGCCCCGTTTTAGAAGTTCATTACTGCCGTCTCACGTTTTTGGTCTAACGAAGCCTCATGTCCCGTTTTCATGGGAACGTTCATAGTAGTTGTTAAATGAGTACTGCAAGGATCCGAGCGTATGTTTTTCCTAAATAGTTGTTTCGTTTATTGTTAGCCGGTCGTCGGCATTGCCGGCGCCAAGAGGGCCCTCTCTTCGAGGAGAGGGGGGCTGCTGGTGCACGCACGGGAAAGGGCATGGGACAACTCCGCAGTACTTCGCGAGAGCGTGCGGCGCCACCGCACGGAAGGAATGTGTCCCCTTGGGCGACGGAGGCGGACCCCCGGACGTACGGGGTCGGGGGAGTTTGGGCGGGAGAAGTCCCGAAGCTGGTCGCGGACGTGTGTCGTCCGCCGGCCCTTTGTTAATAAATGTATAGTTAAAGCATCAAATCGTCGTCGCTGCCACTGCCTCGCCATCGAAGATACCAGCCGCGATCGGGGAGAGAATCTTCAACTACTGACGCCTTTTCCCACCACATGAACCTTACTAGTACTAAGCAGTGATGGAAGTGCTGCGCCATTTGCGACAAATTGTGTCTGCCACATGTTGCACCAAAATACCACTTTTGCTCAAAATTACACTACACCTGCGAATTTAATATCCGTCGATACCGATATTGAAAAAAGTGGAAAAGAAGAAAAGTGGTAAAAACGTTTATATATTTTACGGCATATGTACTCGCTGTAACTAAAATTTGCTCGTCTACCGCGCTGGCCACGCCTTCAGATGATGACGAGGCCAGCCGCCTGGAAGTTCAGATTATCTTCCAGACGATAACGTCGTCGATGTCACGGAGCTAGAAGTCGCGGGAAAAATTAATGAAGTGGTGGTATGGCAGCTGCTGTGATAAGACGAAACCAGGGTCTCATACTCCTGTAAAAGTCACTTGATTTTCATTTCAGCCACACTCCTCCACGTCGTGGCACAATCGCCGCTCACGTGAAGCTTCACACCCTCGCGCACAGGCGCATGTGCATCGAGCTTCACCACCTCGCATCGGTGCGTTAGGAGAAGTAGGTTGCGCGGGGGAATACCCATGGGTAAGCGCGGTGGGCTCGGAAATTATGCTCTGTACTGTTACATGTCAACCTTTTTCGGTCTTGATTGTAGGTAAATTTCTAATTTTAAACAGCGGTGCCGCGAAGAGAAAACCAAACAAGAAACGCGGACCTATATTTGAGTAAGTAGACAGGGTAGTTTTCGTGCAGCAGTCAATCAAATGGGCTCCTAACTCCGTGGAATTTATTTTCTCTAATCGACGTTTTAGCGGATATGCTAGTTTTTTCAGGAATTTTACATAAATGATATTGACCAGTTACATTGATTCTGAGCGTAAAATAGGGGGTGGGAAATACACTTTATCGTAACTGAAGTATCTTGCTACGATTCATTGTTCAATAATTTTTTTTTCCGCTAATCTCCGTTCTAAACGGAAGCTACTTTGACACCGAGCCTTATTTCATTTTGTACTTTTTGATTATTTATAGACCTTAGAATTACAAAAGGTAATAAGTAAAAATCTTCGATGTCAAAGATGAACCCTCAAAGCCTTATCAAAGATTGGCTCATTTAGTGATGCAATTATTGTTTAATTTTAAAGGGATGTGCAAATACATGTCGGGATCTGCTTCAAAAGGGTCAATGGTTGCTCCAAGCCAACATTTTGCCTGCAAAAAAAAAAAGTTAAATACTGCACTATAAGCGAATGGAAGAAAACCGAAAGAATGTCTACTTGTTACAGACGTGACGTAATGTCTACTTGTTACAGACGTAACGTAATGTCTACTTGTTACAGACGTAACGTTATAAAAATTAACATACTATGAAACATTCCGTAGTTGCATCTGCTAATACACTGTGTTTATACAAAAAGTTCAATACTGCACTTTAAGCGAATGGAAGAAAACCGAAATAATGTCTACTTGTTACAGACGTAACATTATGAAAATTAACGTACGATGAAACATTTCGTAGTTGCATCTGCTAATACATTGTGTTTATATAAACGTGTGTGCGGGAAACTCTTGTATATTTGTATATTACTAAATTTGACGTGCTTTGGTTGGCAACAAAGAAAGGCACTTGCATCCTCAGGAAATAATTAGAAAAATGTGCGTGCTTATGTCTATTTAGGCAAATCTCTTTTTTTTTTTCTTTTTTTTTTTACTTTGAGGATTATGGATATTTTGAATTGTCCTTTATATCTGCTATCATGCATGCGCCCTTCCTACATGTAGTGGACGTTTGCCTTCAGTTTCGGCAGACTCATTGTACCGTTTTCAGAAACCGCCGGTGGAGGAGGTTTTGGCATGAAAATACCGAGCGCGGGCTCAAGCGAGCGTACCCTTCTTCGAGTCGAAAAGCTATAGATCCTGCTCGCTCCATATAGCTGTAGACTTGTGGGGAATTAATTCCAGTGGTGGATTCGGATAGATTTTAGAGCGCTTCGTTGTTGATATATATCCTTGTGGGTGCAAGTGTGGGCTCGCATCTACCGCACTAAAGGCATTAGCGTGGAGCGCTTCTGGATCGCTCCAAATCCACCAAGGCAATCCACAGGTTGAGCTCCAACGTCCCTTCTTCCCATATTGTGCATGCCTTTGTAGACTTGCCCCTGTAAACAAAAGTATCTCGGTTCCCTTCCCCCAGCCCGTCCCTCTCTCTCCCTCTGGCTGCGCAACAACTTCTTTTCAGCCGGGATACATTTTGTACAATATGATCCGAGGCTCCCTCAGTGCCTTGGAGTGCTCACTGAACGTGCTATCTCGGTCCCCACATCCCTTTCGGGCTTCGAACCAGTGAGGGGAACGTGGTAGGTAGGAGGAGCGAGACTAGCAGGCGAGCGCCATGTGGCGTGTGACGGTAGTAGGTAAGTACGTTCAACTTGTTCAACTCTCGGAATCACCTGGTTATCAGATGCAAATTACGAATATTAAAACAGGCAAGTTTTGTGCTACTGCGTGTCAAGAAACTACGAAGCTCGGTGTTCATAATAATTAACCCAAGAAATTTTCATATCAAGTATAACCTTTTTTTTTTTTTTTTTTTTTTTGCGATCGAACAAAACAAAATAGGAAAATTGAGGCTCCAGTCCACGCTGTGAAGGTGGTTGCTCAGCGAGTCGGCAGTCCTAGCTATGCATGGCCTATTCATTGCGGTGCTACAGCAACAATCAAATCAGTTGCTATATTCCGTTTCATCTTACGTTTAAGCGCAGCGGATGTTACGAGCCAGTCGGAGGCCGTGTGAGTGTCACGTGGCCTTAGAAAGGCGGCACAGCGACGCGCGGAAAGCGTATCACGGGCCACGTCCCCAGAACGGGATTGGCTAAGAGAGCTCATAGCATCCGCTGCGTGCGGACGCAAGGTAAAACGAGGTATAGGCGGGTTCTTCTTGTACGTATGAAAGGCTAGGGACGTCGCTCTCCACGTCGCAAGCTGCTGTCGCCGCGGCAGCTCGTGCAACAATAACCTTCACCGGGAACGTATGCGGTGACCGCTACGTGCTTCGCATTATTTTCAGGACCTTCTTATCGTTCTTTATATGGTTAGGGGCATCAAAGCTCGTGCCCCCCCCCCCGGGTTATGATCCTTACCGTGCCATGTAACGAGCTTCTAGTAGTGGCATGTGAACAAAATAACGCCCACGTTGCCTTTACTGACAGAATACGTGGGAAATGGAATCCCAGCGTGCTTTCGTTAGCTTCAATCTCCAGTTCTGGCGAGAAAGTAACGCGGCATCGATCACTTTTACGTCCGCTTGGTTTGAACACTTTTGTGCGTTGTCTTGTTAATGAGCGTTGAGTCTCTGTTGAGTTCGAACTGTTTTGTGCGTTGTCTTGTTAATGAGCGTTTGATCCGATATTCTGCAGCCGCGGGCTTTATTTCCATGCATTAAAGAGAAAAGACCCGTGGCCGAGTGGATTACTGCTTCAGAAGCACAGGGGCCTGGCTTTTACCCCCACAACCTCGCAGCTGGCACAAGCTTTTTGTTTTTCAGATCTGTGCTCGCCGGCGCATGCGCCGTGGTACCGGCGATGAACACACGGCTACGCTTGCACGGCGATTGACACTGAAACACAACGACGGACACATGGCGATATACATACGCTGTAAAATGTACCCCCTAAAATAAACTACTGATTATTGCCGGTGTTAAAAAAAATTGCGCGGAAAAGCCCCCCCTCCCTCGGGAAAATGGAAAGTCTACGCCGCTGGGTGTTTAGACTTTTCACTGCAATCTTCTGAGTTTTTTTTTTTTTTTTTTTTTTTTTCGTGAGAACGCCGACACGAAAACACACGCGGGGAAAAGGAACGTGCTTCGCATTGTTCGCAGGAGCCGTTACCATCCATTATGCGGTTTGCACTTCACACGAGGGATTCGAATAACATCAACCCTTTTCGAAGCAGCTGCAAACCTAATTTTTACCGGAACGCGTGGGAGGGTGTACCTATTGCTCACACGCGCCTTATCATCCATCATGTAGTTTAGATGCTTGTTTTGTGGTTTTTTTCGTGGCTTTCTTTACTGAAACGGATACTGAGCTGTATGCCTGATTTCGATATGCTGTTTTGCCTTCAATTGTTTGCGGGTTCGCTGGGGCAATACATATCAGTTTAAAAAACATGTATATGGGATTGGAAGACATCATGAAATATTGCATTAAAAGTACTTTGACTTTACTTTGAAAGTATGTTGTACCTAAAGCACTCTACCTCAAGTTCATTGCGCCCAGTGTACTTACCACTTTATTTCAAGTACATAACCTCTCATTTACTTTGTACTTTACTTCAACTACTTTTATATGTACTTTACCCAGCACTGTCCTTTGGCTCCCTCCCCTCTCAACCTCCATCTATTCCAACGCCACCCACAAGCGCGAGTACACTGCCTTGAACTAATCATGTAGAGCACAAGCACACATATTCGGCAGGCCCATTCAAAACATGGAGCTCTCTCTTGCAACCTCTGCTATGCTTATATTAAAGAACATGCTAAAGGGCCACAATTTGCACATAAAACGTCAGAAAATCGCAGCCGCCATTAAGTGACGTCCCATATATGTCCGTTTATGACTTCCGAGATTCTTGGCGTACAAAGTGCAACGCATGGAGGCAGTCTCGGAAGTCGCAGTTTGTTGTACTAGTACCTCTCTGAAAACTGAAGATGGGAAGCATTTCTTTCTAAGATGTTTTCACTGCAAAATGTCCCATGATGTGATACAATAAATTCAACGACAATCATCAGCACCAATGCATTGTATTTACGGCTGACTAGAATACCAAGAATGAACATGGTTATGACAATGTTAAAGCCCAAAGGTGGAAGCACTGCACACAATACACCCACCTTGTCGTCAATAAAATGAGAAAAAAAAATATCAGCATTCCAATAACATACAAAACTTTCTGCAGCAGAAGGTAGATAGATGACAGACAGTTTGCCAGGTTCATCTTTCATGAAGTTTGCACAAAAAAAAAAAAATCAGAAGTCCACGCTGAAATCCTTGTCACTCAGCTGAGTGGTTCCCAAACGAGAGTACACAGGACGCCTGCTGGATTCAGTTTCCAAGCCATTCGCACTTTGCTGTTTGAAGACCATGCTGGCTGGCCTCAACTGCAGCAGGTTTGTTGGCTGTTGATCTATGTATCTTACAGGGTCTTGAACCCTCTTTGCAAGTGGGAGAGCTTGAAGGCTGTCATACGGCAAAGGCCTTGTTGAATGGTCAGACTTGACTTTTGTTTCCAGCTTTTTACCAGGGTGCCCATAACTCTCATATGGCCCTCCCTCATCCTTTCCTGTCTGGGGCTTTTCTTGGGGCACTGAGCCGCTCCGAGCATTGAAGTCAGGCACGGTGAAATTAGGGTCGCTGGTGTATTTGGCCCACTTGCTCACCCCAGACAGTCTCGCACTGCAGGCGTCACTTTCGTCGACGACAGGGACTTCTTGCGCGTTTTTTTCAATTCCCTTAGAAAAAAAGGCTAATTAGTCCCCCAAATATGCACTGGAATCAAAGGAAAACAAGAATTTTGACCCACTCGATTATTTTCTTTTCTGGCCATCTCAGACAGGTTCCCAGAGGGCTGCAGATCTGCCCTCATAGCATTGAGGGTTTGGACTTGCATCCTGCAGTCTTTCCCAGATCCCCTGCCATACTCCTGCGCACAAAGACACACACACACAGCAATTGGAAATAACCATTACAGTGTTGCAAAACAGGCACCCCCTTTCATTCCTATTCCCTTCCGAAAAATTAGAGTTTCCGACATTTCCGTTCCTGTCAACTTTTCAGAACGGAGACACTGAGCCCATTCCCACTCTTGGAATGGCTGAACTCCATAATTCCATTCCTCTAATTCCTAAACGTGAAAAAAGGGCCCCAAATTGTGTTACTAGAAAAAAGCAGTATAAAGCTGCTGACATCAAACGTGGAGACGACTGAAAAAGTATGCAAAAGCTTCCTCAAAGCCCTCATTAACGATGGGTGGTCGCACAAAGCGCTTCGTGACACTTGGTACCACTGCAGACATCAATCGTGCAATCAAGCGTAAAAAGCTTGCTAGTCGCAACAAACGCTAAAAATTAAAACCACTGATTTTCCTCGCAAACAGACAGTATACATGCCTTGCAAGTGACGTCATATGGCACCGTTCCAGCCGCCAATGTTGTATACCATGCTCCTGTTTACGTACCCTGCGCAGCATACATTTCGCACCATCGAATCTGTTTTTCTCGGCAAGCTTCGCCGAGAAGAGAAATTCGATGGTGCCAAATGTATCCTACAGAAGGTACTGAAGCAGGAGCATGGTATGGAGCGATGGCGGCTGATGTGACGTCAATGCAAGCTAATGTATACCCTCCGGAGATACATGGTTAGCGTGTGGTCTATTTGGTAAAGCCTTAAAAATGTCTAGTTTGTGCGTGGTGGAAGAAGCTATCTTGCTCTCTGTTTCGAGTACTTGCACAACAACACGACTAATGCGCTGTTAGAAGCGATGCCACGTATACCTGGCCCAAAGCCAGCGGTTTTCAGTCCCAAGAACAGAAAACTGCTGACAAGAGCAATCAGTAAACGGTGCCAGCACAAGCGAATGTAACACCATATTATGGAACTTGCTTCAGGACGTAAACCTTTAAGTTTGCTGAACAGTCCCTGTGATTTGTTAACATATTCATTCCAATTCATTATTTGTGTTCCACTCAAACACTTGAACATCGGCTGGGTTACAACTTAAAAGAAGGGAGTCAAACCGGTCAATACCCTGCTCCGGTTCGGGTTCAGTAGCTTTGCATTTTTCTCTTTTCGGTTCTGTAGGTTTAGTAATACTTTCGAAATAATGGTTCGGTTACCGATTCCACCAGGCACACCCAAGTTCAAACCGATTCTCCAAAAAAATATCCCTCCCCCCCTTCCCCGGTCGTCAACAAGAAAAGTTGTGTTCAACATGGCGTCGTCTGCATTTAAAGAAAAAACATGTCATCAGAAGCCGTGCTGAGGGAACAAGGACCGCAAAACAAATATATGCTTAATTTCGTTTTCTGGTCGTGACTTTTTAACGTAAACACAGTTTTATGAAAATTGCGTGGTTATGCAGGTGCTTGGAAACTACGAAAGTACTGTACTTACATGTGAAGTCAATCAGCCAGTATGCACAGTGATAACCGTTACCCAGGGTAAATAAGAAATTTAGCCATTGGAGTAGGACTGCTAGTTTGGGGTCATTACAGGCTTACGCAGTACTGATACACGACCGCACGCCAGTACGATGCTCACCCGGATCGAAACGGCAAACTACCCACGCCGCACGCCTGAACAACTTGCTCAAACAACTGAGTTGAAGAGAAGAAAGACAGCGAAGGTCAATCGGAAGACGATTAAGACAAAACAAAAAAGGAAAAAGAAACAACGGCGACTTCTTGTTTCCAGAAAATGCACACACACAAAAAAAAATTCTTCAACCAGTGTTCAGTGCACTTGGGTGACTGGCGACCGGCGCCGCACTGTTGTGGCTTCGCCTCCTGCTGCCTCCTGATCATGGCGGAACAAAAGCGCTGACAGCCGTCAACTTGTTATTTTGTTAATTTTCTCCTTCCTTCGGAAAAATTGCTTAGCAGCAAGAAAATAAAATACACATGCACACAAGGAACAACTCTAGTCTTTCGCATCACTGCGATGGACACAACGGGCTACACGAGCCAATCCATAGTTTATAGTTTGTCTCGTGACTTCGCGCTCCCCGCGTCGCTCCGCCCAACCGGAAGGACACATGACACCCTCCGAGCTATGGATTGGCTCTGGTGGCTCGTAGCATCCTTTGCAGTCCATGGTAAGGGGAAAAAAAGTATAGAAGTGTACACCTTCTCACCGACGCCAATTCGTGCTGCACATAGACGTGAAATATACCTTTTTGTTTCAAATTTTTCTTAGCGGTCTACATGTTGTCGCTGCCGTTTGTTTAATCAAAACTGAGCCACTGATGCCACCATCGCAAATATTTAATTGGCTTGGATTCGCCACCCGCAAGAAGGTGCGGCTCACATTTTATTACGCCTAACCGTTTCCAATACATGACTTGCATCTGAAGTCATTTCGTCAGCTCTCCCCAACCACAAGAGAAGGGGCAAAGGAAGAACCCTTTTCTCATGGGGACTTTCCTTTGTATGTTCAGATATGCGGAGACGCGGTTATTCTCCCTCTACTAGAAGATTAACCCGTCACTCAGAATTTGTACTAAAGCAGCTTTCCCCTCTTTCTTCAGTTGTGATGCGAAATAGATGATGTGACATCAGTGCAAGGCATGTATGAAGCAGTAACCGCCGCATGAAATTACGGTTCCGCCTCGGTTCGGGTTCAATATCAGATGTTTGATCTGGGTTACAGTTTTGTTCCGGGTCAGTTAAAAATAATGGTTTTGCTCCGGTTTTCGGTTCGGGTTCAGTAAGACACCCTGGTTAAAAGCTACATGTTAATCGCGCATTACAACAGCCGCTTTGTCGCGTCGAGGCTCCAGGAACGACACCTTGTCTGTCTACAACTATTCAGTTTTTGTAGTAAGACAATCAAGCCGTCAGTCACCTCCAGCCCAATTATGCTGTTTCAAGAGGCAGTTATCCTGCGCTAGCGAATCGCGCCACCAGCCCGTAGGCCCTAATGATAATCGACACAGCTCGCATAAGAACTGAGCCCTTTTCATTCTCAATCCATTCCAGGGTCGCGAAAATGCGGAATGATTCCATCATTCTAATTCCGCGATACCGCTGAAGTTCCAGAGAAAGACCCCGAGAACTTACCCGCACAACAGACTGCTTTTCACCGCAGAGCTTACATATCCATTTCTTCGCTTTCTTCACCTGTTGTACTTGAAAGCATTCGCATTTGTAACACCTTAATACGTGAAACTCTTGAGGCATTTTGTACTGTTCCCGTTTAACCGCTGGCAGTGTCGCTATTCATTTACTTCTCCGCTGCTGCGAGTTCGCCTGGTTCGCCACCGCGCCGACCGAGCTGACCGACCGCCACTTTCGGCACGTTCGCGCCAACGGCACCAACGGGTGGATGGATGATGTAGCTGAGTAAAGGCAGCGTAAAGGCGGTAACTCGCGCCACCTATCCTACTTATTTTACGGGGGAGAAAGAACTGTTTAAGACGATGAAGGTTGAAATTATACTGGTTATACTAACGCCGTTTATTTACTTGTAACAAGAGGAATAGTACTCTTCTTCGAGATCGTAAAGTTCGGCAGCCATGTCGTCACGCAAGGACATGAGCCGTTGATCACAGTCCATCTGTACGGAGCAGTAGCGCTGGCTGTTTTGCGCTATGGAATCGTTCACGAAGGGAAAATCGTTGAGGATCAGGTACTGCTTGATGTCCGAGATCAACTTCATGAGAGACTCGCCGGCTCTTACCTGGTTAAGAAAGAAAAGATGCCACGTTTTGAGCACCCAAACTCGATCCGCCACTAAGAACGCACGGAAGACAGGTGACAAAACAGACTTACGATGTTGGCAGCTCGCACGTGCATCTCGTATTGATCCTGAGTCACTTGTAACGGTCTGAGCACTTGTCCTTCCTCTTCGAGTGGAACCCTCGTGGACTTTATGATTTCGGTGAAGTTGTCGATCATGGACTTCATGTCATCCTTCAGTCGCTTGGTGTAGGACTTGAGCAGAGCTTCCTTGCTTTGGCTTAGTCCTTTAGGCTGGGCCATGCGGGTCGATCTTTTCTTCCTTCCTTGAGAGTTTACTACTGACAGTGCACAGGCCACAAACACTCCCAAAAGCTCAGAAAGGTCGACAACAAAACCACAAGACGCCGCATCCGAATGCCGCTGTTTTGATGCGTTCTCTGGTGTTCCGGCATTCGTATATAGTCCCGATTTTCGCTTGAAGATGGCAGCACCAAACGTTTAGGACATTTAATTTATAAAACATAAAGTTCTATTACGTAATGACTTTAAGTAACACGTTTTTAATTTCATTTTTTTACGGTATTTTGTAAGAGAACTTTAAAAATATGTCTCTGAAGTACACTAAACAATACGCCACCAGGGAACCGAGCTAATAAAAGCTGTCGGCATCGCCCGCCATCTTTCCTTTCCCGGCGAGAGATATTTGTGGTTGAGTTCAATCCGTCTTCATCGCCTTTCTGAAGCATTGAATATCTTCTTGGCATTCATTAGACAGCCATAATGGTGCAAAGGAAGGTGAGTGTCACTCTAGTTCTGCATCATCGTTGATTAGCCCTTTGTAGTGTGTCGCCGGTTACTGATCGCTATTTCTCTGTTCACAGATCAAGGGGAAGAAGGGCAAGAAGAAGATCGCGGCAGCACCTCTGTCCGCCAAGAAACCCGAACAGAAGAAAGCAGTAAACCCTCTGTTCGAAAAACGCCCGAGAAATTTCAGCATTGGTGAGTGAACGCTAGAATGCCAGTGGCATACGGCCTATGATGCCTCGTGGTAGGCTAGGCCCTAGCGAACGGAGCAGGTAGGCACATTTCCATATTTCCAGTTTTTGGACTCATCCGCGTGGCAGTCTGGAATATGACGTTCAAGTAATTATCTTCGTGATGTCTTAATAGCTAGAAAATTTAGCGTAGTAGATAGCTCTTTCGAGTTCAAAATGCAACGGGGTAGCGACTGCGTTGCTTTTTGAATTTTCAAAGCATCTGCTGCAAACGGATGATTTGAAATTCGCCAAGGAAGACAAGGTATGCTACAGTTAAGTTCTAACTGTTGATCTGTGTATATCTTGCATCTGATGAACGTTTACTTCATTCATAAAACCAAGCAGTTTTTTTAGCTTCTGGCTGGCTGGCTCTGCTGGACGTGCATGATTAGGCCATTGGTTTTCTAGTTGGTAGTAGCGAGATTAATTGTGGCAGCGCCTACATGGCCGCATACGTGACTGCTTCCAGGCCAGGACATCCAGCCCAAGCGTGATCTGAGCCGCTTTGTACGGTGGCCCAAGTATGTCCGCATCCAGCGACAGAGGGCGATCCTGTACCAGCGCATCAAGGTGCCACCTCCAATCAACCAGTTCACACAATGCCTGGACAGACAGACGGGTAAGGATTTGTTGTGTAGTTTGGGCAGAAACTACCCTTGCCATGCTGTAGTGCACGCTGCTAGAAGTTTGAAACAAGGTGCTCGGCAATGATGGTTTACTGAATCTCTTCAACTGAATGTGGATACAGTTCACACTTGTGGATATGGTTCATCCTTGCTCTGAGCCGACACCTTGCCCATCTGTTGAGTATATTTAGCTGGTGCTTTTGTTGCCCTTTTCTTCTGGGCTTGGTTCTGATAGGTAGTGCATTTTGGTATTGTTGCTGCTACATGTAGATCTGCTTGCATCGTTACGTGACAGGCAGCACTGCATTTTTCGCGCCATCAACTGTCAAGTCGGTGGACTGTTATAAGTGGTCCCTACTACAATGGACCTTTTCTAGAAGCATCGGTTCGAGAGTAAATTGTTCCAGTACCCTCTCTCTCTCTCTTCCTTCTGGCCGAGCAGATAGGGAGGATGGTTTCAATGTCGACTTCGGGGCGGAAGATTACGCACGATGGGGACAAAGGCGAGTTTGGGGGAGCCATATCTAGGTCATAGCGCTTCAATGGGTGAACGGGATGTAGCTGACGTTTAACGGGTGGGAGAGGCCTTGCGTGCTTGTTGTTTTCTCGCCATTTAGCCTCGAACCCAGTCGCGTGTCTAGGTGGCAGCTCATATTCGCCAAGAGGTCCATTCTTGCAGCATGAAACAGCAGTAACTGTTTTAGAGCTTTTTACCCAATTGCATATGTGCCCCCCAAAATGGGAGTCATTGTCAAGGATGCTCGATCTCCATCCAAAAGATGGAATTTTAATGGTGTAGCTCACAATCTGCACTGCTGCACCTATTTCTCTGCGACGAGTTGTCTGTCTTTTTATGGGTGGGGCACGTTTGCCGTTTTCCTCTGGAGGGGTCGGTGCTCAGCGTGCTCGGCTTCTCTCCCGCAGCCACGGGTCTGTTCAAGCTGCTGGACAAGTATAAGCCCGAGACCAAGGCCGCCAAGAAGCAGCGCCTGCTCCAGCGAGCGGAACAGAAGGCCAAGGGCAAAGAGGACGTACCCACACGTCGTCTTCCCGTGGTGCGTCAGGGTGCCAACACCGTCACCTCTCTCGTGGAGCAGAAGAAAGCCCAGCTGGTGGTGATCGCCAACGATGTGGACCCCATTGAGGCGAGTCTGCTGCCATTTGAGCACACTTCAAGGTTCCTACCATTATAGTGCCTGGAACGTGTTTTTGACTGGTGCATTTAACCAGTGTCCCACCGATGCATCAAGCGTGTTGTGGAAATGCTGGCGAAGGTATCCCATCTCACGTCTGCTTTGGTTTCTGTCATGTGTCGGGGTACCGAGCAGTTGCGGCGGAACAAAAGTGCCGCTTACGCCTCCACTGCTGTGCTACCACTCGGACTGCAATGGGCACCAGCACGACTGTTTTAAAATGACTGGGGGACATCGAGGGACGGCTTTTTAGAATCTCGCACCAGTCGTAGATGCACTCCAGGCACTTGCCCTCCATGCTGTGCTCTAATTTTTTCCTAAGGTTTGTCCAGCACAATGATTTTGTAGCAATAGCGAGCGTTGTTGGTCGGCCAGCCGGTTTTCATGATGAGCCTATACCCACTGTCTGAAGCTTTGTGATGCTTCATTTAATACGAGCTTTTTAACTCTGAGATTTCTTCGCTGGTTGGTTGCTTTAACCTTGTTTCGTCACTTTCTTGACGTGTTTACACTTTGTGCGTGCAGCTGGTCCTGTTCCTGCCTGCCCTGTGCCGCAAGATGGGTGTGCCCTACTGCATCGTGAAGAACAAGTCGCGGCTCGGCCGCGTGGTGCGCCGAAAGACTTGCAGTTGCCTCGCCTTGGCCCAGACCAACCCGTGAGTTGCGTTTTGTCTTCTAATAAATGTTGCTAAATATCTAAGCTGCACATTTTTTTATTTTTTTTTTAGAATTTTGCCTTATATTGTGACATTCTTTTTGTTTGCATCTTGCTTTACAATATTGGGATGCCCTGTACTTCATTTCACGATAACTTGGCGAACTGTGGAGGCTATAGCCCCATGTCTGAGCGTAGGTGCGGGGCACGTGACATGTCATAGGAGCATGCGTCACTGCGCCAGGGAGCAGACTGTTGTCTGCTAGGCAAGAGTCCTCTGCTGCAATACCAACCAACTTTGGATGAATGTCCACTGCCTCAACATTGCTGTCTGCTGCGTACAGAGCTCTTCAGGATCAGTTCATGAGAACCATACACTCGGTTGAACCTTGAGTCTGTGGTAGGTGCTAATGCTAAGGCAATGTGGTAAGCGGGAGCGGTAGATACACGGCTGCAATCAACGGCCAGGGTTCTACAAGGAGAAAAATCTGGAGCGGATGTGGATGTGGTGTCACTCTTGCTTTAAATATAATTGAAAGTTGTTACTCCAACACCCTTTATTACTTTTTTTTTTCTTTTTGTATTTGCAGTAGAGTTGAAATTAGATGTGTTCAATTGCCATTAAATTAAAAGGATACCTATACTTCATCTCACCTTAGCATGGACTATTGTTAGCCGCGCGTGCTTAATGCGCGATGTAGTCTCTTTGAATGAAGCCGCGGCAGCTGCACGAGCGCTCGTGCAGCAAGCGCTCTAGTCAAGGCAGTCAAAGCTGGCCGCTCGCGCTAGCACAGCTTTCGCGGTTAGTCCATGGCAGGGTGAGACGAAGTACAGAACTACAAAAAGGACACCTAGAACTACTTTTTGTCGAACACTCCGTGGCCTCGCCATGGAGTTTTCTCACGCCACTTGCTCTGGTGCTCTTTATTGGGGTGCACAGGCCGCAGCCTCTATGGTTCGCCAAGTTATTGTGAAACTGAGTATAGTAGCACTTTTTTGTTTCGAGGGTTCTAGGCCAATCTTGCAAGGATGAGTTTTCTACTGCATCCTGACAAACTGTGATGCCTAAATTACGAGCTTTTTAACTCTGAGCAAGGTGTGCCATGGAATTTGCTGAGCCCCTGTTTTTAGTTGAATGTCGTTAAAGGGTGTATAAAGAAGGCTCCAAAGTAAAATTTTCATCAAATGCTTTCCTCTGTCTGGGTGAAGGGCTTGTCAGGTTCGGTCATGCCATAGTTCCACATGTCAGTCAATTTGCTGGCACTGACTCGTGCTCCTAATGTGGAGCTCTTCTCTCAAGGTTTCATTTTCTTGTTTGCAGTGAGGACCGTTCTGCACTGTCCAAGCTGGTGGAAGCTATCAAGACCAACTTCAACGAACGCTACGAGGAGATCCGCAAGCACTGGGGCGGTGGTGTCATGGGCAACAAGTCTGCTGCCCGCATCGCCAAGCTGGAGAGGGCACGAGCGAAGGAGCTGGCCCAGAAGGTGGCCTGAAAGGTTGCTGCCCAATAAAGTTCTGTTTCATTTCTGTCTGGGTCAATCTTTTGCAAAAAGTTCAGCATCATCTGCTGTGTTGAAAGGATTGTCTAGGACAGGCTGGATACAATGCACTAAACTAGAAGCATTTGGTATGCTTGTCAAATTTGATTTATATATGTTTTAACAATTGCTACTGCCAGTAAGATTTGAACATCTGTATGTAAAGGGGCTTCCTGCCACAGCTCTGAGGGTGACCAAAATAGCTGTTGGCACCAGGTCTTGGGCTCAGAGGTCGGCATTTCAGGTCACCCTCACAGCCACACTCACCTAAGCCCCTCACAGCTACACTCACCTTCAGCACCTCACTCACCTTCAGCCCTTCACTCACCCTCACGGCCCTCATGCACTCGCGGCCCTCACGGCCCTCACGCACTCATAGCCCTCACGCCACTCACCGCCCTCACGCCACTCACCGCCCTCACGCCACTCACCGCCCTCACGCCACTCACCGCCCTCACGCCACTCACGCACTCATGTCCCTCACGCCACTCGGGCCAGCTTCAGATGGGGGAATTTTGTTCAGAAACTTTACGTTGCAACACCGGCAACACGCGCTGCCCGCGATCACACGCAGCAACCAATTGCTGCAATTTGCCATCGTCATCATAAAATTTTATTTTTCTTGCACTATTCAGACAATTACGCGTTATAAACGTGTTTTTATGCATTTAAATCTCGTTAAGAATACTAGTGCACCTTTCTGAAACAGTTTATTTCCAAAAAAACGATCGATTTCAAACGAGAACCAAGTCTTTCGGTGTCATCATCACGGGCACGAGGTATCACGTGAAAATTTTGCGTCCCTGATCAGATGCAGCCGCTTCAAATGTATTCGAATTGCTCCGAGTTTCTTGCTTATTTCGAGCCTGACCCGATCTCAGCAATTCGTGTCGATCTAGGGAAAGCTAGAGAACAACCCGCCATTAACACCGAAATTGCTGAGAAAGATGCTCGATCTGAAGGGGGCCTCACGCACTCATCGCCCTCACGGCCCTCACATCACCTCATGCACTCACCGCCCTCACGGCCCTCACGCCTCTCATGCCACTCACTGCCCTCACGCACTCATGGCCCTCACACTTCTCACGCACTCACCGCCCTCACACCACTCACGCACTCATGGCCCTCACGCCACTCACCGCCCTCACGCCCCTCACGCACTCATGGCCCTCATGGCCCTCACGGCCCTCACCGCCCTCACCGCCCTCACAGCCTTCACGGCCCTCACTCACCCTCACACTCATGAATTTTCTTGGTTCAGAAACTCACTCACCCTCACCTCACCTGTGAAGATGAGGGTGAGTACGGGTGAGTGAGGGCCCTCATGAGTGAGGTTTGCCGAGGTATGCTTGGGCTTCACCTCTCGTTTTCAGAGCTATGTACAGATCTTTTAGAACAGCTCCGTGTTCATTATTGCAAATACATTAATTAATGGATGACTGGTATTTCCGACTATTTCCTTTCAAGGTGATTAAATAGTCGACTCGAGGTAAAACCAGTGAGCTTGTACGTGGAAAAGAATTGGCGTTTGACAAGAAACTTTGCGAGGATTCGAGTTTTGAAGGTAAAGCTGCTTGGGCAACAAAAAACTGGGCACTTTCCGTGTTCTTTCGCTACGGATCTTCGATTGACAGGTGAGTAGACCTCCGATTTTGGACTGCGGAGCGTACAACGAGGTTGGGAGTGTCTCACAGTGATTTTCAGGGTCCATATCACATGAGCGAATCGACGTTTTAGCGAATAACGGGGGTGCGCCAGGTGCGCGTTAACCCATGCGCCGCGCTCCGCTTTACGCCGCTCCACGGCGACAGTGGCGACAGTCTGCGGCGGCTCATTACAAAAATGTTAACCCATTTGGCCCACCCGATTTTCATACTTGGTGGTAAACGCTGTCTCAGCTTTTGGCGCGAGCATGGGGCTTGATCTCGTTGATCAATTGACACGCGTTCTCGCGCAAACAAAACCATAGATGAAGCCACGCGCTCGCGCCAGTAGCGTTGCACACTAGCCTATGCAGGGCCGTACCCAGAAAAAAAATTTCGGGGGGGGGGTTTTCGGGGACAACGGCGGCCATTTTGAAAATGTCTATTGTCTTATTTTCGCCTATGAATCATGTGCATCGGTGGCACATAATGGAGAGTTATAGCAAACCGGAGAACCGGTCCCGGTTTGGTACCCGGTAGCCGACCGGCGCCACTGCGCGTGCGCAGAGGTGGAGATTAAAATCGGCTGGCTACAAGTGCACCGACCAGGGCCGTACACAGAAAAAAATTTCGGGGGGGGTCAGAACCCCCTATCCCCCCCCCTGGTTACGGCCCTGAGCCTATGTATGATCTCTTTTTAGGCTTTTTAGCCGAGCGCCGACATCACAATTTCACAAGAGGAGCAGCAAGATCGCCATCGCTGCGTAATGACGTAATTATTCAAGATGGCCGGCATCGCGGAGCTTGGTTAATTCAGGAGCCTGTATCAATCCGATTGCATCGGCGCAAACTGTCAAATTAATCGGCATTATGACTGAACAGCTCCATCTGAGAGGGACGTTAAGAGGCCACAATGGCTGGGTGACGCAGATCGCCACCAACCCCAAGTTTCCTGACACGGTACTGTCTTCGTCTCGGGGTGCGGTAATCTTACTTTCAGTTTTCATCCGATCAATCATTGAAATTAAACTGTCGGTTGATGTGTAAGCCCATAAATTCAGCCGCCTTTTATAGTGACACGCTTGCCGGCGCCTTTCAGTAATACTGGTTCTTCTTTCAGACAAAACATTGATCTTGTGGAGGCTAACTCGGGACGATGCGAGCTACGGTGTTGCGACTCGGCGGCTCAGAGGTCACGGGCACTTCGTGACGGATGTGGTGCTGTCTTCCGACGGCCAGTACGCCCTGTCCTGCTCTTGGGACAAGACACTCCGCCTCTGGGATCTCGCAGTGTGAGAAATCGGGCACTGTAGTTTCTGCCCGTTTTAAATACACAAGTGTTCCATATTTACAGTTGATTATTTAGCTTCCTAAAACACTACTGCCAGGAGGATGCGCCTCCTGTTTGGGTTTTATTCATATTAATGTAGTGTCTGACTCAAACTTGACAGGCGTTCAGCTGCTGCGAGTGGTTGGCCTTCGACTAAAACTTGATGGTCACATTCATAACACAGTTTATACAATTCAGTATTGAAAACTGCCACCAAAATAGCGCCCTTTGTTTCTGTATGCGTGCATCAAAAAGTGGACGCCCCAGGTAATGACCGTAAAAGGGGTACTAAAGTCAGTTTTAAAAAAGGTAGTTTTTGATATTATTTTGTTTAAAATGTGTTAGTTCCCCCATATACCAAGTCCTATGTTTACAAAACCACCTTTTCATCTCGGGGCAAGAGAAAAACATCTGGATCTTTTTTTCTCACGGACTAGACTGTGGACCAATGAAAACCCTAAAATACGCGCAGATTCCGAATGATTTTATTGTAACTCTTTTCAAATAGACTGTGATAGGTACACATTCAGATAAGACTCCTCTTTTTCACCACGGGCAAAGCCATCGCTTGCAGCTCACCGACAAGCGCCCTTCGGTGACCACTTTACTCTGAAGAAAATTCTTCTCAAAAAGGGCGTGTCCCGATTTTTGAACACGCTTTTAGCAAGCAAATAAGCTACACGCGGTTCTGGTTTCGGGTTTATTAAGATGCTTAGAGCATCTAGATTGAGTAGTCACCACAAAAGGACGACTTTAGTGCCCCTTTAATACTCTGTCTGATTCCTTAATTTTCTTCAAGGAAAAAAAAAATAGTTAAACAGTGACGTTCAAAGAATTTGCATCTTTTACTTTTGATATTTTTCTTCTCACAAAGGACAGAAAACACATCTCCTTCCTTCGAAACGTTGCAATTCCGCCGTGTAATCGGGAGGCAGAAATTGGAATATTTCCCGACCTGCATCCGCGAGTGGCTACCATGAGAACCATGCGGCATGACGTCAATGGGGGACTTGTAAAAAGATATCAAGTTGTGTAAATACCTCCTCGATAAAAGGTAATTTTTTAATAAACCTTGTCGTTCCAACATAAATATAAATGCATTAAAAACCTGGTATCATCGACAAATCTTTTATTATATGGAGTTTTAGTAGCGCCATCTATCCGAAGTCAACAAAATCGTCGGCTCTCTCTACTACCGCAAACAGCCGCCAGAAGCCGGAGGGGGACGGGGGCAGAGCCGGATGGGGATGGGCAGACCCAGATGAGACTTTCCTCCTTTTGCCATGTTAACCATGCTGCGCAAACACATGGTCACATAGTCGCGAGCGGGTGAGCTCTCGCTGCTCACTGATGGCTCTAGAGAGAGAGCTTCACCGGAACCCTGTGCGTCTCTCATTGACGTCACAGTGACTTGGAAGGGGGTGAAGGAGTTCAGAGGTGCCGAAAACCTCAATCTTTGTCCATTTTTAAAATAAAAACTACGACATGCAGGCAAAAGCAGTATTTGTTCTTTAATTCAAAAAGGTTGAGACACCAACTCCCAAATTATTTAAGCAAAGCACAGAAATTGTTGCACAGCTCCTTTAATGTCATGCGACATGCAGAGCAAATCAACAATTTTGGTTGCCGTCTCGTCCACAGAGGCAGCAGCACTCGTCGTTTCGAGGGACACGAAAAAGACGTTCTGAGCGTTGCATTTTCGGCTGACAACCGCCAGATTGTGTCTGGGTCTCGGGATAAGACCATCAAGTTGTGGAATACCCTGGCCGAATGCAAGTACACCATAAAGGTAAGCTCCACTTACCCAACTGGTGCGGCAATATCGCCATAAATTCAAGGTTTTCAAACCCTTAATCCTGACCGAAAGTCATAGAAAACATCCTATAAGCAGTGCGAAAATGTCAATCATCTATTTAGTTGGGCCAAATGGGCTGTGTTTGTGCAATAACTCTTTTGCGGCTGCAATGCGGTTCTCTCTTTCCTCAATGATTGGCAGATGGCTCGGCGTCGCACAATGTAATGCCGATAGTCTTAGCAGACGGCTGCTCAAACTGTCAGGCTCGCAACAGTGAGCATTGGAAACTCTGAGCTGATGCCGCTTGTCGATCCGTTCCAACGTCTTCCCGCTAGAAGGCTATGAAGCAGCCTTGTTAGTGTTTGCTGTCCAACAATGACTTCTCAGCAAAGTTTGCCTATCTCGAGGCTAGGTGCCATGCTCTCTTGTCTTTGCCTTTGAACATCATCACGGATTTCACTGCATAGCCTTAACCAAAGCGTACATTCTCAGATTAATCATTCTTGCTGCTATGGGGGGACTGCAGATAATTATTTTCAAGAAGGGTGGTTCTGGGAATTATTGTCATTCTTATCGTTGGGTTAGCCACACTTAATTTGTCCATCGTGTTTTCAAAATTTTGTGTTGCACAACTGTTTTTACAGGGATCTCAATTACTGTAAACCCCTTAGTGTGTGCGAGCCCACAATTCTCGCTAATGGAAAAATTCTCGAAATTTAAGAGCACGCAAAAATTTCAGTCCTTAAGAGTTTCAATGCAGGCGTCTGGAATTCGCAAAATTTAATCGCCATGGTTATGTCCTCCGTGACCGATTCGCGAAAAATAGGTGCCGCGAAAATGAAGGGTTTTACAGTACTACTTAAAGAATTCGAGTTTCGCCTGCCAATGACTTCAATAAATCACGAGCTAAAACCACGGTTTCATCAGAATGCTCTGCAGTAGCTGTTGCACGCGGCTGTGCAGCGGTCAACTGTGTGATGGAGAGGTCATTAATGATTAAGCGTAAAACCTGACAAAGAGCTCTATGGTGTTTTGTAAACATGCATGCAATTGTATTAACTAAAACTGTTGAAACACATAAACTTAAAAATAATGAGCACACTGCACTCAACTCTTTGGTTATGCCAGAAATTAGACATGGCACCCAAGATATATTTTTCAGAGCACACATACTCATTGCAGCATGCTTGCATGTACCTCGCAATCCTTCTTTCAAGCGTGCTTAAAACGAGATTCACATTTGCAAACACCTCTGCTTAAAATTGTTAAAAAGTACTTAAGATTACTACCAGCTCACACACTTTCATTTTATCTATTACTGCTGCTTGTTTCTGCTTCGAAATGTCTTAAAGACCAAAGTTGGACAACAGACAGTTTGGTTATGATTCAGCATAGCCTGTTTTTCAGACATTGTTTGGGTGTGGCAGGTCACATGGCCATGCTTGTATTTTCCATGGGGTTGCTATCATCAGTGTTGACATGTCAGCGTTGACCATTGCAGTCAAAGTTTGGGTTTGTGATCATGTGTAAGTCAAGAATGAGCATAATTTCAGCAGATACCATCATATGAAAACAACAAAATTTTTTTAAAATTGAGTGGATCTGTTTTTTAGGGGTGTGTTTGCATAAAGCGTGGTTTCTGCGTGTCAAGCTACCATCCAGCTTTTGAAAGTCACTCCTGCATGCGTATCTTAGGCTACTGACAAATGATACAGTTGCAAAATAATATATACCAGCAGCCTTGCATCTCTGCCATGCCCAAGCCAAGTGCTCCTCTGCATTTCCCTTCCTGGCAGATGCCGTCCCCATGACCATTGCCGCAATGACCGGCTTTCTAACATGTCCTGCTATTGCACCCACCTGCCATTGCCCTAACAAGTGAGTCGTTTAAGCGTTTTTCAGGGTGCTTACTGAGCCACCCTGCACTTGTGTTTGGCAAGCTTTGAAGCGTTGCTTGCTCCTACAGCTGTTCAGCAAAGGTTGAGTGCATAGTTTGTGGTTGGCCCCTGTGCACCACAAAACATATATTGTGCCGGTAGGTTGACATAAAACGTCATGTAAGTTTCAGCTTGCTTTCACTAACACTGCTTGGCCATTAAGGGGCTGAACTGTAGTCAGCGTGGCTGCTTTGCTTTACAGGCAAATGACATGCCAACCCATCACTAACAAACATGCTTCATGGCTCAGCAGCATGTGGACCAAAGGCTAGGCTGCAGAGTCTGCCATCATGAGGTCAAATTTCTTCCCCGGTAGTTTGCAAGCATTCACTATACTTTGTTCACCCCTAAGCCGAGACTGCAGCCAATGCCAGAAGCACGAGAGCTCAAGGTAACTGCTTTGAAGCATTCTTCCGCATAACAAGTGCTTGCACTAGAAATGCATGTCTCAAAGCCAGGAGCTTGGGCTAGCTCGTGCATGTAGCTTTGACTGCAGTCTCAACTTAGAGGTGAACAGGATATAGAAAAGCTTTAGCGTGGACTATGCATTATCTACATCAACACAAAGGAAACAGTTTTTTCGATGTACGTTGTCTCAATCTTGTGGTGTATTCGCTAGACAGACCTTTATCTCTGGAGAAAACTGAGTATGTCATAGAGCAGCGAGGAGGAATCACCGCAATGAGGAGGAAGCTGTTCAGAAAATCCGAACGAGTATTCACACGACGAAGTCACGCGTAGCATTGTTGACGGTGTCCTTCTTTTTGGGAACAAGTTTGCAACCTTCCAGTGGTTGTTGAACAAGAGGCAGGGAGAAGAAAAGAAAGGCACCCCACAGCTTAATACTGCTGACCGTAATCTTTCCCCAAAACAATGATGTGATTGGCTTAAGCCATTTTGGAGCAGCCAAAACAGTGTTTTGGAGCAGCAAAAGTGGCTTCTGGAGCAGCCAAAACAGTGTTTCGGAGCAGCAAAAATGGCTTTTGGAGCAGATATTCTTATAAAAATAAAAATATTTGTTTTGAGTGCTGGACAAACGAAGGGCCCTTTGTGTTGTGTTGCAATGTATTGTGATGGAACTTGCTGCTTGTGATTTTACTGCCGAGACATCCCACAAGTGTACAGTGCTGTAGGCGTTGCCGAGCAATTCTGAAAAACTGCTTGCCACCTTATATTGGTTCCCGATGTGCCAGATTTTCATCAAAAGTACGAAAACGTAAAACAATGGATTGCAAAAGTCCCGATTGGTGTCTCTGTCGTGCAATTATGTTTGCATGCACTGAAGGGCAACTTCGGCAGGCTTGCAGTTGCACGGGCTTTGTCGCACGAGCGGAAACAGTGGCTGTTTGTTCGAAACCGAAACCATGCCACTCTGCTCCGTCTCCAACTGGTTCCCAAAATTGCATGCAAAATGTAACTGTCCAGCATACGACAAAAAAACTTCAGCGGCACATGCTTGCCAAGCTGGCAAGCTAGGTACAAGCTAAGCACATAAAAAAAAAGAACCTGAGTGCATTGATGCAGGACACGAGCGAGGGTCAAAAAGTTCTTGGAGCACTTTGTGCAACGACTGAGCTCAAGACAAACAAGTGTGCTGTGTGGGTTCACCATGCAGACATTGCCCTCTTTGCTTTAGCTCACCTCTCTTCAACTTTCTTTCGCAGCAGATTTTTCACCTACCAGGGGCCCTCTCAAAAGAAAGCCCACTGAGGAAACCTAGGTAATCAGTTCTTCGGCACAGCAGTCTTTGAGTTAGAGAGGGATTTTTGTAGTAGCATTTATTTAAGTGAACAGGAATGTTGATGAACATGCGGCGGTACTTACGTTTCAGTTTAGAGAGCGCCATATCTGCAGCGACGTGGGGACGGTAACACCCAACATCGCACGACCACTGTGATTGGCAGGCAGGGACCAAATATAGCTTTCCCACGGTTGTTCTTTCAGGAGGAAGCGCTTCAGCTCACAAAGAAACTCCAGCCGCGCGAAAACGTGGTTTCATTTCACAGTATGACGGCATGGCTGGTACTTGGCATGCTAGCGTCGGAGCGTCCGCACACACCGGCATCTATCTTTAAAAATTTTTTTAAAAAGATGCGAGATAAGACTTACAAGACGACAAGAGTGCGAAACGCGAGACGGCGGGAAAACCATGCAGGGGGGGTACTTTGTGTCGGGTGGCAGCTTGCACCACCTAGCTCACGCGTGCTCAATTACGGTACTCGGTTTAGTTTCAGTTTTGAAATGTGACCGAAATTGGATCTGTGGCGCAGGCTTGGCGCAGGTTACCTATATTTTGGCAAAATGTAGCAGGGTTAGCCCCTTGGCACAGTTTAGCACAATTGGCGCATCGATCGCATCACTGCCAAAAGGAGGGCACCGGTCTCTCCGACCGATCAACAAATATTCTGCAAGCCTGTTGAAGATCCTCCGCTGCTCTCCGCGGGCTCGATGGATTAGCGAACATGCTCTTTAAAACTCAGTGGCGTTTAATCTTTTCCTCGGAGAAAAACTTTGTCATGCGAATACGTCGTGCCTTCGGGAGAAGTCCTCACGGGAGGGTGCATTGCTCAGGAGGACCAGCACGAGGACTGGGTGTCATGCGTGCGCTTCTCCCCGAACCACGGGGACCCCACGGTGGTGTCCTGTGGCTGGGACAGCAAGGTAAAGGTGTGGAACCTCACCAACTGCAAGATGCGGGCCGAGTACGGACATGGGGGATACCTCAACGCCGTCACTGTGTCCCCGGACGGGACCCTGTGCGCCTCAGGTGGTAAGGTGCGTGCATCCCGTTTGCCCCCTCGCGTGGAAGGGACCTCCTTGCGAGCGACGATCGGTGCACCTTCATCATAGTGGACTGACGAGCCGTACCGCACCGAGCACGTGGCTCGACGCTTTACGACCCTTGACCGAAACTCCGGACGCCTCCTAGGGATGCCGGTGCCACTTTGTGCAACTGCTTTGTCTTCCCTCATACTTTCATTATCGGCTACGATGTATGATAGCGTCGAAGTAATCTAAACTAAAACGTTGCGAGTGACTATGGGTAGAGCTTTGTGCATGCGTACCTATGTTTGATCACCGTACAGCAAATACCACTCGATCACTTGGCGCGCCTGCGGCTTTGGCATAGCTGTTAGACTAGCGTTTCTTGTGCTCGAGATCTGCCCCGCGACACAGGCAGCAATGCAACTGGACAATCAGATATTATCAACAAAAGATGTGTTTTATGGGGTGTATCCCACAAGAAAATTGTCGTGAACGAGTGACATGCTCCCAGCATGTCACTCGTTCACGACAGTTTTCTCGTTTGCCGTTCAGACTTTGCATAAAGTTAATAAATAAAGTTTGAGCCCCGGCAGGGATCGAACCTGGGTTGCTGTGGTGGCAGTAGGATATCGTAGCCAATGAGGTCTTAGCACAACTAGTCTAAAAGGATAAAATTATTTTCATTTAAATGCAAATGTGCTGGTGAGAGCAGCAGGTTTTGGGTGAAAATATTAAAGATAAATGAAAATTAAAAAAAAAAAAATTATCAACGAAGAAAATACATTAATAAAAAATTACGTAAACATCAAAAGAAAAATAAATCAATAAAATAAAGTTAATAAACATGAAGTAATAAAATAAGAACACTTAAAAAAATGTGTATTATAAAAAAAAAAAAAAAAAATTTGCACCAGACCGGAGTGGTTTGTGTTGGACACATTCTGTGTTCCTTGGTATTTGTCAGCATGATCAAGCCTGTTTTTCTTTGTTTACGGATTTCTCTTTATGATATTCTCCAAACTAACCTGAATGCACTGTTTCTATCAGTATTGAGAGTATCAGAAATGAGGTGGTGTGTTGGAGCGATTTAATATTTGCACATTTTGCTAATCATAAAACAGTCTGCCGAAATGTATTGTGTGAGTACCATAATCATTCCCAATAATTAAAGGGGTCTACGGACCAGGTTGCTTTCTTTCACCAAATTTTGTTTTAGTGAATTTATGAATAAAGCAGCACTTGGGCAAATTTTTAAATTATTAAGCCTGATAACATACCTGTGTTTATAATTGAGGTTTAGTGGTACAAACCCAAGTATAATAGGTGGTTATTCACATTATTGTGGCATTGCATTATTTGTGGTCACTGAACTGGATATTTGTTTTGATTGAAGAAACTCTTACGGACAAAAAGTGCATCTTGCTGATGGTACAGTCGCGGACGATGTGAAAAGGCCCAGGCGAGCACGTGGCTCTGAAGACCTCCGGTGCTACAGTCAAACCCGTTTATAACGAACAGCAGGAAGCGCTACGATCAGTTCAATATAGCAAGTAGTTCGATATAGCAAAAAAAAAAAGAAAAAAAACATTTACAACGAACTTTCTCGATGAGTTTGTTGTAAAGCGAGAGCTACTCTTTCTTTCTCATCTCTTCATTCCGCCTTGTAACAATGTGCTAAAAAGTTTTTTTTTTTTTTTTTGCATGCCGCGCAGTTTTTTTTTTTTTTTTTAAGTCTTATCTTTTGTTTTGAGTCGCTTCTCTTTGTGGTCAAACGCTTTGGGATGGAAAGCGTTTTTTCTTTCTGTGCGTGCGTGCAGCGTGTATTCTTTTTTTTTTTTTAGCTTTTTCCCTTTCTGAGTTACTTCTCGTCGCTCAATTTTGTTCGCAACTTGAGCTTTTGGAATTTTCGTTCTTTCCTACTTCTTTTTTGGGAGGCGGGACAGGCTAGAAAACGATTGTTTTCGCGTTTTTGGGAGCCTTCCCGGGGGTGAAAAGTTTGATATAACCAATATGCTGTTCGTTATAAAACACACTTTTTACATGCATTTTTATTTAAATTTTTCGTGAGTTCGATATCGTCAATAATTTGCTGTACGTGGGTTCGTTCTAAATGGGTTTCACTGTATCTAGCAGCAGAAAGCCGGGTCATCATCGATTGTGTGATCTAGCGGCTCTTCGACTCCATTACTCCCCACTTGGTCGGCAAACGATTGCCAAGTCAACACCGATAGCAGTAGTATGCAGTGAAATAAACTAGAAACCGCTTATCATAATTTATCTTGCAAACTTATTACCAAACGCCTGAAAGTTGATCATTCAACCCGCGGACCGGGCAGATGCAGCCACGCTTGATTTCGATTTTTGTCGTAGGTTGCCTTATTTTCGGCGAAATTGGCAGTAAAATGCATACACTTTACTCTTTACTTTCACATGGTCAATATATCATAACCTTTGCAAAGTGCGGTTTTCCAAAATATTTTGCATGGAGTTGCATGCTATGGGAGTTGCATGCTGTGAAATCATTACCATCGTGCGATATATTCTCGTGACATTCTTTTTGCAATATTTTTCAAAATGCAAAATTTCTAAAAATTGGTTCCTCAAGAAAATGAAGTAATTTACAGTATTTAGAACACTAGGTGTCAGGAGCTCATCCTAGTTACTTCCCAATTCGGCTTCTACCGAGATGCCCGATGATGACTCATTGCATCGGAATTTACTATGTCGACCGGCCTCTGTGTCCTGCAATGCTGAGGGCTGCTCATTCCCTTTGCGACCACTTTGGTCGCCGGCCTCTCTGGGTCCCTTGTGCCAGGGGCCATGCACTTCTCTCACAGGACTGCAAGGCCAACCTGTGGGACCTGGAGAAGAGCGAGCTCAAGTGCACCCGCGACAACCAGGACATCATCAATGCCCTGTGCTACAGCCCCAACCGCTACTGGCTCTGCGTGGCCACCGGGTCTGCCATCAAGATATGGGTGAGCCTTCAGGGTGTCTACTGACCGGGAAAACCGGGTATTGTCAGGGAATTTTAAGACACCTAGAAAAGTCACGGAATTGTCAGGGAAATTTCCAAAAAAGGTCAGGGAATTTATCTCACGTTCGCCCACTCATGCTAGAAGCGGCAGGCACGGGCAGGCGTAGCCACGAGCGCAGTTAAGTGCGGCGGCGCGACATCTGCGCGTGATTTGCACTTTGTTACAGTCGGCTAGAAACATCTGAATGAGACGAGCCGCCGGGTCTGGTTGAAGTGCTGAATGTCGAAAGTTGGCGTGGCGGCGCTGCGATCGAGCTAGCTTGGGACGCGATGCGGCAACGTGGAGTGCGGCTATTGCAAACGCTGGTGAACGCCGGTACACGCAGCTGGACGCGCTGTGAGCCAGCCGCAATGCGAACGCTGGAGGATGCCGCTAACGCAGCGAAAGCGAACATGAAGGCACTCTACCGCGAACCAGGTGCGACTTATGAAGGCACCCTAGGCGCAGCGCCGCCACGCCAACTTTCCACGCGCTGCGTTTCACACAAGAGCACGTGCAGGGCATAGCAGTTCATCGTTCTTCTAGTACACTCTAGAGCCACTAAATAAGCTACACTTTAGAGTAGCAACACAAGTATGACGCCTAAAGCGCTGTGGGCTAAAGAGTTACTAGTGAAGCGGAGTGGCAGCGGCTATTTTGCTTAGTTCGTGACTCTAGTCGGGACTGTCGGGTGGTGTTGCTCTAGTACGCTCTGGCGTTATTGTGACGCAGAAGAAACAGTTACTCTAGCCGATACTAGGTGGCGCGAGTCACCACTCGTTCAGAAGAGAACAGCCGTCGTTTCATCTACCTTCTGAGAGGCGCGTGCCAGAGCCGTATATGGCGCGCGCCTAGCGATCCATTCGTTTGTCAGATATGTTTTCGGTCCCCGTAAACGCAACTGAACGCCTGCACTCTGCGAGCTCTGCCACTGGCGTTTGTGGCTTTGGGTTTGGCGTTCTACTGTGTTATTTTCCTGAAGTGGAGACATGTGAAAGTGACTATGTCGCAGTCGAAGAAGTGCTCCTTCAACCTCGGCTGGACAAACCTGGACATTTCCACGAATGCGAGTTGGATTCAGCCAGTTCCAAACGATCCAAATAGTGCCCGCTGCGCAATGTGCTGCAAGAAGTTCTCCCTGAGCAACATGGGGAAACGTGCGATTACGAGTCATTTTGAGGGTAAGAAACATCAAGCTGCTATGAAATCTCTGCAAAGCGTTTCCCGGACCCCAGTCGTATCATTTTTCAAGACTGCGTCAACTGTGGACTTGCCTTCCGCGACAGCAACAGGCGTTTTGTCCGGAGGTAGCACTAGTGCTTGTAGCGCTCCGGCAATGCGTCTATCCACCGCCACGGAAGCTCTTAGTCCGTCTGTGAAGACGTCGGTGAGTGGATTTTTATTGAAGGATGAAGTCACAAAGGCCGAGATTGTGTGGTGCTTGAACACTATAATAACTCATGGATCTTTCCGTTCAGCGGCAGCGTCTGCCTCGCTGTTTCCGTTGATGTTCCCCACGTGTGAGACCGCCAGAAAAATGCAGCTTGGAAAAGACAAAGTGGGATACACCATATGTAGAGGCCCTAGCTTTCTGCGATTCCGTGAAAAATCATGGAATTAACGTTTTTTCGCGGAAATCCAAAAAGAAAATTAAAAAAACGGATTTTTGGGGGCTGTTTCTTCCAAAAGATGGTGCTACACGTTTTCAAAAAGAAAGTTTTGGTGAAAGGTGGCAAAACGTGACGGGAAAGTAGTATCTTCTTATTAGTTAATGACAAAACAATTTATATTTTCTCGTCGCCTTTACTGTCGAAGAAATTTAATTTTATATTCGAATATTCTAACCTTAAAAGAAAAATGCCTAGGTGGCGCAGCCGCCAACCGAGTCAAAGGGCTCAGCCGTAGCCGTAGTCATCAATCCATCCAACGTTTGCGCAACGGGACGCAACAGAAAGTGCGCCATTTTTTTCCGTTTTTGCTTTGTTTCCGAGTTCGTGATCGACATGGCTCCCTTAGGATCTCATTTAAGCAAAAAGACAGCCAAAGAATGTGCTCGAGAATACAAGCACGCTAGCTTTTACGAAGATGGAGGAGTCCTTTTTTGCCGAGCTTGCGCGAGAGCGGTTGACAATCGTCGCAAGTCAACTATTGACGAGCACATCCAGAGCAACCGTCATCGTAAGAAGGACGAAACAAGAGACTCTTCCAAGCGAGAAAGTGGCAAAGAACCATCTGAAGACGTCGCTGGGGGTTTAGGAACGCCGAGAAAGAAAAGTCGACTGCAGACGCTGGAATCGGCAATGACCGCTGGCGAGGCTAGGCACGACATTGTGCTCAAATTCCTGGATGCATTGATATCTGCGAATATTCCCCTAGAGAAGGTGGACAATCCAAAACTGAGAACGTTTCTACAGACACACGTTCGGAACGGCGGGTTGGTGCCTGGATCTGATGCGCTCCGCTGACGACTTCCAGAATTGTTGGAGAAGCATGAGACAGCGTTGAAAGCTATGTTTGAAGGTACCACGGTGTCGGTAGTTAATGATGAAACCACCGATGACCGATCAAAATCGGTTGTGAACGTGCTGTTCGTCCAGTCAGCCAGAAGTGTGAGTGCTTCGCTACAACCAGTGCTGGTGGATGTTAAATTCGTGGATGAAGGGAACTCGTCCGTGATAGGCCGCATTGTAACGAAGACACTGACGAAGTACGGAATTGAATTCAAGATTGTGACGGGCTTTGTAAGCGATAACGCTGCTTATATGGTGAAGTCCTTTAAGGAGTGCATATAGCCACTTTGCGAGCGTGCTGTTCACATTACGTGTGTAGCCCATACAGTAAACATTGTCGGCAGCACATTGCAGGCATCTTTTCCTTTGGTGGACAAATTTGTCGCCTGTATGAAGAAGGCCTCTCGTCTGTTGAGTAGGAAGAGAGCTTTCTACAAAGCTGACCTAGAGAAGTGTGAGGTTGAGTGTGCCAAAACACCTCCAGCACCTGTCAAAAGTAGGTGGAATTCATGGATTGAAGTTGTTGAGCAGCATTCTGCTTACTTTGAGCACTATCCTTCTTTGCTAAGGCAAGTCTATGAAAAGTATGGAGACGCAGCGTGTGTTGATTCTCTTCTGGAACTTTTGAATGAACACTCGACCGAGCTTAAGTACAGCATGCGATGCATTGCAGTATTTGGCAAAAAAGTTGCAAGCCTGCTGAAAGCAGCAGAGGGTCAGCGTGTAGCCTGCCACAAAGCGTACAATGCTTTTTTTATACTCTGGGGGTATTTGGAAGCAGCTGCGCAGGAAGATTTTGAAACACAGCTGAAGAAAGAAAACATTGCATACGACGAGGCCCATCAGATTGCAAACAAAATGAAGGCTGCAATGAGTAAAGCGGCTAGCAAAGCTTTAGTATATTTGGAGAAGTCTGACACTTGGAAGTTCTTCAAGAGTGTGAGGTGCTTGGATCCTCTGCAAATCGGGTGTCTCTCGGAGAAGAGATCAGAGTTTGCAAGTGTGCCTAGACTTGGCGAGGACTCACTAGCCCTAGCTGCTGAATGGCAAGTGTACCTGAAGTCCGCCCAAGAACTCAAATCAAGTGACAGGGATTTAGCACCACTTCTTTCTAAACAAGAAAAGCCAGGTGAAGATTTTGATGTTCGGGCTTTCTGGGCAGGGATGGAACCCCTGACTCCAACACTTTCTTCCATTGCCCTTAAATACCTGTCAATGCCAATCAACTCAGTTTATGCAGAAAGGTCGTTCAGTCGATACGGTGACACTGTGTCTCACAAGCGACACTCCCTCAGTGAAGAGAGTACCAAGCATCATTTAAAGCTCAGTCACAACAGCTTCCTTTTATTTTGATGCAAGCAAGCATCGAAGTGTTTAATAACGTTCAATAAATAAACTGTTACATGTACCTTATGTCTGTTCAATGTTACAGCAGAATTTTGCAGATTCCTCTATCTGGATTTGCAGTATTTCAAATTTTCCACCGCATAAAGTGAGGGGCTTTAACCATATGTCATGGTATCGGTCCATACTTTCGAGAGAAGTTGCTAGCAAGCCTCTTTAGCGTGCCACATCTGGTGGTTGCTTTTGATGAGTCACTGAACAAAGTAACCCAGAGAGAACAAATGGATGTACTGGTCAGGTACTGGGACCAAACTGACGCCACTGTAAAAACACGCTACCTAACTTCGTGTTTCCTGGGGCACATCTGCGCAGAAGAGCTCGCATCTGCTTTCAGGAAAGGCACAGAAGTCATTAAGCAGACAAAGATACTACAAGTGTCAATGGATGGACCCAATGTAAATTTGAAGTTTCTGAGGTCCCTCAAAGAAGAACTTAGAGCCTCCGACACCAATCACCAGATCCTGGACATTGGAAGCTGTGGACCCCACGTCGTCAGCGGTGCATTCAAGGCAGGTCACGCTGCGACGCACTGGGATCTGGTAGTGTTTCTTCGTGGGAGCTATAACCTGTTCAAGTGTGTGCCGGCACGTCGGTCAGACTACATCCACTTCACGGGAAGTGCTCTGTTTCCGTTGAAGTTCTGCTCAGTAAGGTGGCTGGTGTATTTAAATACTAAATAGGTGTATTTAAATACTAAAACGTGGGTATTTCAAATACAATCGTAATTAAATACAATTTTGTGGGCGAAAATACATCCCTCAAATTTATTGTCACTGTCCAGAGCAGGAAGAAAACTATGTCCTGCACCGAATGCCGTGTCTCTCAATCAAGCACAAGCGTTTAGTGACTTTGCGATTACGGTGCTAGTCCAGGGCAAGAATAGTGATGAAATCGACGTTCACAGGCAGGCTGGCTAAATAAGTGCCTGTGACAACTTGTGAGCTTTCCAGCCTGATTTCCCTCCATATTTCCGCCTGGAACATTCTAAATGCGCGGGTCGTCCAGATTTTTGTAACTGGTGCGAGTTGCAACAATAAACAATTCTCTAGCTAGTGCTGCGCGTCTTGGTCGTCTCGGTTCTTTGTTGGTCTATACCAAAATGTAATCGACAAAAAAAAAAAGCTGCTTGAGGCTCTGTACCTTTTTCACCTATTACGTCCAAGCTGATTACATTTTTTTTTTGTGATTATATTTCTATTACGTTACTAGAGCCTCGCACACTAACTCCTGAGTGTGCAATGCAAAATTATGATGAGATACCCAGAAACCCGTTGCAGGTGCCCTGAAGTCGCTGACGCAGATTTTGAGGAATGTATTTGGAAAAGTATTTGGAGGAGACCAAATACATTTGGTTGTATTTGTATCTTGTATTTAAATACTTTTTTGGAAATGTAATTAGATTTGTAATTAAATACATTTTTGACGAAGTATTTTGTAGTTGTATTTTGATGCATATTTGCATGTATTTTGCCCATCCCTGGATCCGGTTAGTGCGTTGTCCCCGGAGGTCGGTGAGAAACAACTGTGCATTGCAATGGAGGTGCTAACGGAGCGCCAGTGCATGACTGGCTTGGAAGCAGAGCGGACCCACCGTTCCTATGTAGATACATGCTCACCCAGCTCTGTACAGGCGGCATTGAAGGACTTTGACAGGAAAGAGGAGAGGCTGGACGCCCTCTGGTTTGAGTTGTGTTCACGGGACCACCAAGAGCTATTTTCGTTTGTCAAGCTAATACCCTGATTGTCTCATGGCAACGCAGCTGTGGAACGGGGTTTCTGTGAACAAGGGGTGCCTTGTCGAAAACCTCAAGGAAGAGTCACTGATAGCCCAAAGAGTGGTCTATGATGGAGTGTCAGAATGGGAGGGGTGGCCAAGGTTGATCTTACAAACAGGATGCTGCAAATGGTTTGTGGTGCCAATGCCCAGTGGAAGGAGGAGCTACAAAGAAAAGAGGCAAGAAAGATTGGATGCATCAGAAGCCGAAAGGAAGAAGAGAGTGGCCACTCTAGTCAAGGAGCTTCAGCAAAAGAAGCAAAGGGTCCTAAACGAAGCGCAATTGCAGGCTTCTCGTTTTGAAGAAGAAATTAACTCCCTGAAACAGTAAGCCCTGGTCAATGCTGTATTCCAAACATCTTCAAGAGTGAAGACAGTTGCTTTATTTAACTTAAATAAAATATTTTACATTGTGAATAGTGTCTATCTATAATATATTGCGTTTTGGTGTCAGTAGTTGTTTCTGGGTGTGGGTCAGGGAATTTAATTAAGATAGTCTGGGAAAACCTGGAAAAGTCAGGGAATTTGAAAAAAACAATTTGGTAGACACCCTGGCCTTGTGTGCAGGCCAAGAAAGTAAATATAAGGTCGGGGCTGTTCTCTTTGAGCAGCAGTCCGCCCTTAAGAATAGATGGTGCATCGGCAAAATTAGGAGGTGTGATCAAAAGGTTCCATTTCGTAGCGAAGAAAGAAAGGGCAGCACGGTAATGTGCACGCAACCGTCAAGGGCTCGGACCTTTGTGCATTGTTATGCCAAAGGTAGTTGTTCTGCGAACGTTTTTAAATGCGTCGGACAAGGTTTTGTGACCATGTGCTCAAGCACATTGGCGATTTCAGCGTGGGCTTCAAACCAAAGCAAAGAGCTAGGTGGCTCTTTACCCCAAAGTGGAGTAGAGAGCCATTCGGCCAAATGCTCGACAGGAGAGATGTATTATTGATTTATCTTGTCACGTAGTAGTTCCTTCTCTTTTTCTCTCTCTCACTCTTGTCCCCTCTAGAGTCACTGAATGTTTCCAGAGTATCGCATCCGATAGGGTCTGCTGCGACTGTTGTATTTTGGCTTTGATCGGCCATTTTGGCACCGAAACATACGGGGGAAGGGGTCTCAGGTATGCCAACTCCCATCTTCCAAGCGGACGCACTGCGAATTGCCACCGAAGTTAGGCCGTGCCTAGATAGGGACACGCTACCTGAAATTACCAGTGAGACATGGTGGTATAAAGACAATAGTAATTGTACCGCAAAACCTTGTAAATTCGAATTTTATGAAAACGTCACGCTCCTGTCATTCTGTACTAATAATCTCCAATAAAAGTTCTTACAAAAAGAGCTTTTTTCGTTTGTTTTTACGCAGAAACATGCTTTCTAAATGCTCGCGTTGACCACAGTAAGAAAAAAAAAAAGATTGAGCCGCCACCTTGACGCCATTGAGCCTGAGAGTTTCGGTATTCTGGGGACGTTCAGTGATCCTTGTCCTCCCCCTCCCATGCTGCTGCTTAGCGTTCCCCTTCTGCTTCCCCACAGAATCTGGAGGACAACAGCCAGGTGGACGAGCTGCGTCCCGAGGTGCTGACAACCAGCGCCAGGGCCGAACTGCCCCAGTGCATCTCATTGGCCTGGTCGGCAGATGGGCAGACGCTGTTTGCGGGCTACACGGACGGCCTGGTACGGGTCTGGCAGGTCTCGGTGGGCGTCCCCCAGTGACCAATCTCTGGCCGTGGCACTTCCGAGAACTGGATGATCCGTCAATGGGTCGGTGCCAAAGAAGGCCGTCCTCGGTGCCCCGTCTTGCGGGCTTCCGAGCTGCCCGACCGGTGAGGCAGGGTGTGTGTGTTTGTGCAATATTTATATGGGCCTGTTAACGGTTCTTTTTTTTTTTTTTTTACGGTTTTCTCCTTTGCCAATTTCTCCAAAACTTTGCGTTTTCCTATCTTTATCGGGGTTTCCACAGGTTCTCGGACTTTCTCAAAATTTTCGAATTTGATTCAATAAGGCGTTTTGTTGACGAGGAACGAAGGAACGAAACTTGGAGCCGCGGTCGACAGTTTGACATTTTGGTGGACGCGTGCTGAAAACACGGCGAGGTAGCGAGTCGTGTTGCCTGTACTACTGTGATGTTGGAGCATCAGGAAAATATGGAACACAGAAACTGCTAAGCATTAGTGAGAATAGTAAAAGAAACTACAGGAGGTATTTTAAAGTTTGCACTTAAACGCCACTTCGGGAAGATGTCCTCGTCATTGTCATGTGCTATAGTATCCTTTAAAAAAGAGGAAGTGCTGTGGTAGTTGGGTCCTTGAAAATGTCTCAGCTTGCTGCTAAAAGCTCCGAGACTCTTGAACGATTCTTTTGCTGGAACCCCGTTAGTCTGGAGACGCCAACATTTCTTACCATCACCACTCCCACCTCCAGAAAAGTTACCTAGTCTTCTTGTCGCCTTTTTTAAAACTTGCAGTCACCTGGCTTAAACAGCTTGTTTTGCACATGACGTTACAAGGAGGAGGCAGGGGGTTTGGCTCCAAAAACAGCATAGCCCAAAGAAAGTGCCTTTCATGTGAGGAAGCTGCCCTAGAAACTTGGGATGTGAAGTTTGTAAAAGATTAAGGTTTCTTCAGTGGATGGTCAGGCACGTCCTGCAAGCCGTTTTTGTCAAATATTGTTAAGGTTTATCTCATATTTATCTAAAGACCTCAAGTGGGATGGTCCTGCCACGCATTCTTAGAAGCCAAGAGCTGAGGCCCAAATTGAGCAGCTTGGTAGGACAAGCCAAAGATACTTCAGAAATGACCTAGCCATTGACTTTGAATATCACTGTTGTCGCTCGATCTCAAAGACTTGGCAACACGGCGCTTTTTTGTGTTTATTAGCTTTGGCTGGAAAAAGGCAGGGTTCAACAGCAGGTCACGAGTGTTCTCCAAAAAATATTTATTGCATCTCTGTTCCTAAATGCTCTGGTTATTGTACAAAACGGATAGTGCTGCTCTTTATACCGGGCAAAACGCCCAATATAAATAACAGTTCATTTTATCTGGTAAACGAGTTAGTAATTTATATCTAAGTGTGCACTTGCTTGGTGATGAACACTCACCGTTTTTATTTTATGCAACTTTCAATGGTTATTTGGATGTTTATAATGCACTGTACATCCTAAACCTTGTACAAGCTCAAACATATATATATATTAGTCTGTACAGCATTGCTTTTTTTACAGAAGCAAGTCAGCTTAGTATTTAACACAAGTATGCCTGAGTGAACAATAAAAAAAGTATTACATTATTACGCCAACTGGTCTTTCCTGAAAAAAAATGCTATACAACAGAAACGTTTGTCCTAGTGCGGCATAATGCACTCTCCCGAGTACAGTTATAAAAGTTTCCAGGTACATAGATGACTTCCCCCCGCAAAAAATGCAGAAGTACATAGATTTGGAGCTTGTGAAACAAACAGTGGACAGAACATAATTGTTCCTCCAATAATTAAGACATTAGTACATGCAAGTATTCATTATCAGAGTGTGAAGGTAGCCGACATTGTCTCGAAAGCCCAATTCAGTCTCAAATATTTTGTCATTTTTTGTGCAGGTAAAAACATTCCAACGCAAAGCACGAGTGCTCGCGACAGATGAGAATTTATGCAAAAGATCACAATGCATTATAAAGCAACAAATTCAAGAGGCATAGATAAGAAGGCGTCGAAAAACATTCCGTGTGATGTTAAAATAATGCTCGCAGGCTTTCAACTCTCGCCGTTCTCGAAGTTTGTTTCTGGGAACAAACTTTGAAAACTGCCTACTGCAGTATATTCAACACCACTGATTAACATTAATGCATTCTTGCTCTCTGCTTTCAACCAAAATAAGGCAATACACATAAAAATGCAACAAAAGGAAAGGAAAGAATGTGAAAATGGGGAGGAACTCCAGAGAAACAGATCTGTTAAGAGCTTTTTGTACGGCTGCCGGAGTTGCCACTGCCCTAACAATGTGGCCGACGTTCGAGGTGACGGGGACGGCCTCCTAAAATCTCGAATGTGAAAAGACGGTCGTTGAGGGAAGACATCCCTTTTCTGAAACGCAGCCGTAGTCGCCGACGGGATGAAGACAGCAAAAAGAGCCTTCAGTTGTCGCGCTTCCAGCAAGAGCTTCCTATTCCAGCAAGAGCTTCCTAGCTTCGATAATACTTCGGAATCCTGAGAGTCCCAAGTGTGCATGCACAGGAGTGCATTCCGGAAGCCTCGGAAAAAGATGCCCCGCCATTCTCGTCGTGTCGGCAGTTAGGGGGTCCTCCATTTCTGGCAGTCAAGGATGGACAAGGTGCAACAAACCGGCCCAACATTAAAAATGCAAAAAAAATTACTAAGAGAAAAAGAAAAGCGGCAAGTCCGCCAGCCGAGGTAACGGCGCCCTCAGACTGCGGGAACGTTGCGCCGAGAGGAGTGGGACTTGTAGGACTGCCGGGCCCTCAGGAGTCGAGGCCGGTGTCCAGACCAAGGAGCTGCTTCATGACTTCGTAGGTGGAGAAGGAGACGGCCACCATGGGGATGGCCCGGACGTAGTTGACGGTCATGCCCCGGTACAGGCCCTTGGACACTCCGTGCTCGCGGAACGTCAGGGCCAGCGTGCTCAGCAGTCCCTTGCTGGCGACGCGGGGTGGAAGGGTACAAGTGAGCCACGGTTACGGTCGTCGTTTCAACGCGGAATGTGGCAAGGCCTGTTCGCGCATTTGGGTTTGCTTACGGCCGAGTTCCCGCAATCTTAAAAACACTGATGCCATTTATGAGGCGACGCTGGAACTGCATTTCACTAGGGGAAAGGTTTTGCGGGATCAAATGTGCGTGCTGCCTATGAGAAACGGTAGCCTATAACATTGCCAAGAGCTTTTCGAGCCAAGGGAGAAAGAACGATGCACGAAAAAAAAAAAGTAATATTATGGAAATGCAGAGTGCTCCTTGGCTATTCAATAGGCGGCAACAGTGCATTGTCCTGTTGCGAGAGATCCGAAGAAGTTCCAAGGCATTTGGTCGTAAGCAGTTGCAAGTGCGTGAACCGGGAATGGGTTCAGCGAGAAAAGCGACTCGTTACGCTGGACCCGTGCAGGTCGATGTCATATTCAGCCTTTTCTGTTTGGCAACAAACTCGGCGGCCAAATAACTCACTCACTTCCGGTTCAAGTATATTTCCTAATATTTGACTCGTCATCCTTTATCGTAAGAATGGATTAAGTCTGACAGTGCTATAAGTGGCCATTTCCAGAAGATGGCACGTATATTTGATTTCGCAAATACAACAAAACCCGCCGCCGTTGCATTCAGGACCGGAAGTGGTTGAGTATTGAAGGCTATTTGCGCACTGTCACCACCTGCAAGAAAAAGAGAATAAGCAACAGAGCCCGACAGGGCCTATGACGGTGGGGTGTTGTGTGACATCGTGGCCTTAGGAGATGCTGGCAAGTCGAGACACCTTGGTGTCGAGTTGCAGGGTGTCATGTGACGCGATGGTGTGCGCCCAGCTCATTTGCAACACATTCTTTGCACATCCGAGTTTATTAGATACAGAGATAGGTAAATTGTCCCACCTGAACTTGTTCATCTCTGGATACATCATGCTGAGCTGCATATTTCTCCTGGCCACGTCCAGTGGGTAACTGCAGTCAAAACAACCTTGAGTAACGGCACTTGTCTGAACGGCGTTTTGGAGGTGCGACCCTCGGCTGCTCTTCAAGCGACGAATCATTCCGGCTCCCATTCGGGATGTATGTGGCACGTAAGTTCACGTGTAAAATAGACGTCCATGAGTCAAATGTTGGCTTGTATTGGAGAGGAAGTTGAAAGACTCCCATTCTTTTACTCTGGCACCCTAGATGTATAGATATATTGCAATGGGCCTTTCCCAACGTTGCCACTGCTAACGCATAGCGGTGGCAGGTGCGGCCGTGGTACTTATATGGTGTTACTGGCATTCAGTAACACCATAGCTCAAGCTTAGTCCTCAGTTTCAATTGTAATAGTAATACCGTATTTACTTTTCCGTGAAGCACGCGGATTTCCAATCACCGCGATCGACAGCGTGATTCCAGCCGTTTACAGGACAAAGATAACGCCTTCGTGCGAAGATACCATCTGTGAAGATTGCATTTGTATGGAGACTCATGTTCTCTATCTAGTTATTCGCTATGTTATTTAGGCGCAACGCGATGATTGGCCGTATATATGCTTTGCGGGAAGTAGACACAAGGGCCCTGTTCATAAATAGTGCGGCTATTGCTCGAGTAAATATGGTACGCCGTAATTTTGTTCTGGATTTATTGGAAAGAATGGTACAAGTGTAATAAATGTCTTTTTAGAAAAGCACCGAAAGTGCTTCCTGATTTCCCAAACACTCACGAAAAAGATCCATAATGGATTGATGCATTATTGTCGAAAGCATAGGATGTGGCAGCATCTTGGAGGTTAGTAGATGGCAGAGAGCTATGTATTAGGAGTATACTGGAGCGGCAACAGGTGCCCTATGCTAAATGGTGGGACCAAGGCACCAAAACAATTCTGTCTGCTGCGATCTGTCAGTGGTGCGACGCCTACCAATCATGGCAGAAGACATTGCCTCGGTCCCTTGGTTCTGCTTGGTCCCATTCACCCGTATTCACCAGGCGCGATTAGCGCCTGTTTAACCACTGATTAGAGACGTCATCGACTAAAATGATCACGTGGCAAGCGATAGTCGCCGCTAAGTGAGCGCTTGGTATTCACCGGTCGTGTTTAGGGCCTAGTCGCCCTGCGCGACTAAGAAGTCGACTAACAAATCTTAGTCATTTGGGTAGGGCCAGTTTAGCTGGTGAATAGCAGCTCAGCGCCACGGCCAACTCATATCACCGCTGAATGCCAGTGCTAACGAAGCACTTACTGTCTCTGAATGCTGCCGTACACATCTAGAAAAAAATTGGAGGAGCAAATAATGTGTAAATAGCCATGTTCAGCGGTCAGAGATACCGCTAAATAGATCTCAGCAGGGCGCTGGACAACGAGAAAAAAACACATTTACGGGCGCTTCCTTATTTGTTTATGGCGCTGGCAATGCGGCTTCCGTGATAAACATTCAAAGTTTAGTTTTTATACGATAAAATACCCATTTACGCAGCGGCGTTTCAGTATGCATATGCGTGACGAATTTTTTTACGTCACTTCCGCCTGTTAGTTCTGACTAAATAGTCACCTGCTCGCTTCACGCTCGTGAATATCGCAGAACATAATCGCTTTTTAGTCGCGGATTTCTAGTTTTTCACTCGCGACTACTTAGTGGTGCTACTAACCTTAAAACGGCGCTAGTTGCGCCTGGTGAATACAGGTGAGTGTGTAGTATAGAACCTCTGAAGTGAATGAAAAATTAAGAATTTATGTAAAAGTGAATGTAAAAAAACAATGGTTCTCACATCGACTCACCTAAAAAAAAAAAAACAATATGTGAACTAGCTCTACGTTGCGCTATATCAGGGGTGGCCAAGATGTGGCTCGCGAGCCGGTTTGCCCCCCCCTCCCCCCCCCCCCTTTTCTGCCTTTCTTCTTCCATGCGGCTCTTGGAAGTTTTGTGGTTTCGTTTTGCGGCTCTTAGGTTGGGTCAGCCTGGCCACCCCTGCGCTATATCCTCCAACAGGTACAGCTGGTGTTAAAGCAAGTGTTTTTATCACGCATGCCTCTGACCATCCAACCGATTGAATGGTGGCACTATTCGCAGCTCTAGCAGACTTTAGGTTTAATTCGGTATTAATAAAAAATTGCAAGCTTTTAAACGGATCCCATCAGCTTTTCCCCCAACTCGGCCGGCCTCTCAAAACAGCTCGAGACAAGAAAAGACAAATCCCATCGAGAAGGCAACTCACGAAACTGTCTGGGCGATGGCTCCGGCCAGGCCGCCACAGAGCAGCTTGGCGGGCACAATGAGCACAATGTTCCCGGTGTTGCCGGGGTAGGGGCGGCCACAGCTGGTGGGGAACGTCTCCAGGCAGAGGGCCTTGAGGCGCTCAAAGACGTAAAAGGACAGCCCTGCACACGAGGACACACACATGTCCCCCACCAATGCGCTCGCTCACTTCGCTATCGATTACTTCTAAAGCGACAGCAGTGCATTACTTTCCCCTGAGGAAGTTACAGACTGCTCCCTAGTGGACTTTGATCTAACCCCTCAACGAGGATGATGCAAACAATATGAATAGGCGTTAAGGCTGGTATACACATTTGCTTTCAAGTATGATGTACTGCATTACAACCGTGTGTAACCGCTTACAATGAGAGTGCAACAGCGATCCGCTCTGCCTCCGATCCGCACAAATTTAATATGTCATTTTTTTCTTTTCACTATGTGCTCAAAATAATTCTGACGTAGTTAAAAGCAACCATTTCTCGTCGACACTGCGTGTATACTGCAAAAGCTTATGTCTAGTCATACGGAGATCGCCTGTGACTGGAGGTTACAATATCTGAGCCTCACCGGCATAAGGCACCATTCCGAGCACCGTGGGTGCGAGGCCCTTGTACAGAGCCCTCACGCCCCCTTCCTGAAAAGAAACGGGCGACCCGGCAATTGTCACGAGGGGCCACGCCGGCGGACGTGCTGCGAATCCACGCTAGTAAAATCCACACTGGCGGCGAGATCGTACCGTCCTGACGATGGAGGTCACGGTGTGGACGATCCCAGAATAGACGTGCTGGCCATTCACTTGAAACGCCAGCCTGGCCCTGACCATGTCTAAAGGATAGGTGGTGACAGCTGCCGTGACCCCTGCAATTGGAAAATGGAAACGCCGTTAATTGTGCTTGCAACATTGTACCATATTTTCGCAAAAACAAATTTGAACTAAAAAAAAAATTATTTTTGCATTTTATAAAATTTTTTAAATTTGAACTGTTAAACGTGTATAAAAAATATGGTACACAGATAATGGTGCCTTGCAGTGACAACTATGAAGCAAAAAAGAAAGCTTTCTAAGCATGTACAAGCCACACATGATACAAAATCTGCTATTGTTCAACACGAGCACTTGCTAAACCGTTACTAAGGTCAGTACTGTTGCTAACATACATGAAATTCTATTATTTCACGGGTGACAGGCACGTAGCCAGGGGGGAGGCCCATGCCCCCCCCCCCCTTTCTTCCATTCTGCATGGGTCCTCTCCCCCCTCCCCCTCATACAGCATTTTGTCCTAGGTGCCCCCCCCCCCCCTTCGAAACAAAATCCTGGCTATGTGCCTGACGGGTGATATCCGATATTGTGTTTCCTATTGCCTTTCAAAGGCACACGCTGGGCCTGTCCGACATAATAGGCTTGTTCGATTTACCTGCACCAGTGCAGAAAAGTGTAGGGCAGTGTACTTCCGGTGGTATCTCAATACACATACCGGAAGTACACTTCCCTACACTTTTCTGCACCGGTGCAGGAGGCGCAGGTAAATTAAAGGAGCATAATGTCGTAGGTCGTCGATTGATTAGTGAGCGAGAGTTGTCATGCTTGCATCGCACGATGCAAGAATTATATACATAGCATCGTACATCCATCATCCCCTTGACTTCCTTCTGTGTCATGCAACACATTGTTGGTTGCCTCATTGCATAGCAGGCCTTATTACATGATTGTTCTTGTGGAACAAGAGGCTGGAGGTAACTGCTTTTAGCAATCATACATATTTCTATTCTTCCAAGGCTGTTCCACTTTGTCATTAGCTTTTTCCTGCTTGATGTTTGTGCATTTAAGCTGCAAGTGAAACAAATGCTAGTGGCTGTTTGGACACGGTACTGTATCTTCTCTCTGTGCTTTGAACCTTAGTGGGGAGTGTCTTGATTTTGGACATGCAGCATATCCTGGATAAAATGTCGCACGTCCTTGGTAGGTCAGTGCATGTCCCAAGTTTGAAAGCGCCCTTTCTAATTTTTAATGGAAACCTAATGAATGAAGCGTGGTCGTTCAATGCATTTTAAAAAGATTAAGCAAATTCCAAAAAAGTAATTAGCTTTGCAAGGAGCAAACCGAAGTGTTAACCCGCCTTGCTTGGAATCGCAATAAAGCTGTATCTCACATTGAATGCAATGCTGATACTGGCAGGGAAGTGCATCACACCAGGCTCCCATTACAAATTATTCCTGAGATAGCATTCATTTTATTCAGGTTACATCTCGCTAGGTGATAATAACCCGGGAAAAAACCTACCAGTAACACTAGACACTTTAAGTTATTTATATGTTCAGTTGCATTGCCCTTAACTATTCTGCAGTGCCTTTCTAGAATAGTGTTATTAATTTCTGCCTTGAAACAATGGCATCTCGTGCATCACCCTGCTTCAATGGCAGTAATGGCACAAGCACCCCACCTGCACAGGATCCGGCCACAAACTTGCTCGCGTGCGACGTGTTTCCAAAGGAGTTTCGGATTACCTGCGGGGAAGTACAAGAAAGCGCATTACGGCACAACAGGCGACCAAAGCTGCCTCCTTGTGTTTAGGTTTCCGTAAGAACACTTTTATTTCCGTTACTCTTTAGTAGTCATTTGTGAAGTGTCATGATGACTGACATGCACGTGGGAATTGCCCTCAAAGAATTGCGTTTACCGTTAGGACAGCACAAGAGGAATTAAATTACAGTTACTTTCGCTGCTCAAGGTAAACGGCACTTGTTAGAAAAGACTTCTTTTGCAATGAAAGGTAGAATTTGTTTGTTCCTTGACACATCAAAATTTATTATGCAGCATTAGGCTCGTCACATCCTATGTTTTTTTTACTGACTGATGGGTGTTGAGTTTGAAGCATCATAGAAATAGGTCATTTTATCATTTGGCTATATCGCCAGGACTTTTTGAAAAAAAAAAAAAAAAAAAGACTGCCATCCTTCCCTGGCATAAAAGCAAGTAGTGCAGAGCACTCAGTCTGTTTCCTTTCTGCGTGCTGTGACGCTTTAACAAAATCGAAAATGTATCGACTAACCGATCTACCCACCTTGACGCTGTGCTTCCTATGTTTTCACTAACTAAGGAATGAGCTTCAGCATCACAAAATTGTTACAAAAGCAGTTCTAATTGTCACACAAACTTTTAGAGCGCAGCTCTTAGGCGCCCGTTCCTGGCTTGAGCGCCGTCGCCGTAACCGCACGTTGTGTTATGGGATGTTTCACAAATTGACTTCACATGTGACGTAACACTGTGCCTAAATTTGGAGGGAAATTTTCCTGCTAAATATAGCGCAAAATTTCCTGCTAAATTTAACAAGGAAGTATTTTCACTTAATTTAGCGGGGAAATATTCCTGCCAAACTTAGCAGGGAAATTTTCCTGCCCAATTTAGTGGGAATTTTTCCCTGCTAAATTCAGAAGGAGATTTCCCACTAAATGGGAGGGGGGCAGGAGAGGAGGCTATGGAGGGGCATGCCCTCCTCTCCTCCTCCTCCTCAAGAGCTGCGCTCTAATTCGGCATTACAGAGAATTGCAAACGTCTCATTTTTTCACTTAATAATGCCAAAAAAGACCAGTTTTTTCGTAGGTAATGAATTATAATTACAAACTAATTCAGTTACATTAATAACTTTAATTGTTGAACTGCACCATCTAAGTAGTATAAAAAGAGGAACAACATTTTATTTTTATGGCAGGGCAGAAAACCCAGCTGGTTCTTGCCCTAACAGGAATGTGACTTCACTTTGTTCTATATTGAAGTCACTGCAGGCTGATGGAGCCAATGAACCAGCTCCAAAAGCACAACACCATGGTGTCGGTAGTCCTCCTGCCCGTCTGCTACCATCCACTAAAGCCAATCAAGTGCAGTGAATGGGCCGCAACGCGTTTAGTATGTGTGTGCACTCTTGGATGCTCTCGAGCTTCAACTGTGCTCCGACTTGCGGCTGAACAAAGTATACATGCGGGTTCCATGCTGCACGCTAAACTCGTGGGCTTGGCGAAGCGAGCGTCTCACCCGTTTGTAGGCTTCGAAGGAGAGGAACTGGACGGCGGCGTAGGGGAAGATGCGGACCATCTGGGCTCCGTTGCCTTTGTACAGCCCCAAGAACTGCTCCTTCTGCACTATGCCTTTGAGCCCCGAGAAGACTCCTGGGGAAAGAGAGGCCAGTATGTCGCGCTAAAAACGGCGTGGTGGGAGAATCCCCACTGCGACAAGTACGGTTGATAAAGGGGAACTTAAGAGGCTGACCTGCAAAATCTTCAGCTTTGCTGAAAATCTTTAATTTCTGCATAATGTTCTTGAACGATATAGGGAGCAAGTCCCTGCTGCACAAACTTCAGGGGATGGAATAACCAACAATGGCCACAAAAGCAGCAAGGTACAGTAAACAAACTTGAAGGTCAGTCTGCAGAATGTTTGGCTTTGTTGAAAACCTTTCATTTTTGCTGAAAGTTAGTAAACAAGATATAAGGCCCATTCACACACTTGTGACTTCTTGGGACGGGAGAGGCTAAAAACTGTTTTTTAAGCCTTTCACGATGGCTCACCCGACCAGCTTCATAGCTGCATATCTGGTCGTAAGACAACGCAAGAGGCTTAAAACCCGGTCTTGTCACATTCGGTCGTCATTGTGTGAATGGGCCTCCCAGAGCAAGCCCCTTGTGCACAAACTTCAAAAGATGAAATAATCCAAGAAGTGTTGGAAAAAACTGCAGGTCAGGCTTTGAACTATATATGTCATGACAACAGCACCCTGCAGGCCTTGTGAGCTGAACAGCTTGGAAGCTAACTTTAACAAGGTTCTAAGATCTGCCAACCCATGCAAATTGGCACAAAGAAAACTTTGAGGAGGTATTTTCTAACACTGACTGAGAATATTGTGGACAAGTGACTGGTAGTTAAACAAAAATGGCTATTAAAGGAGAAAAAAAAATTAATTGCAAGTTCTGCAAGTGAACTGCGGCAACAGTTTAGGCACTCCACAATCTACTGCAGACTACATGTGTGCATTTGCCCTCTAAATTTAGCAAAGTGCCAAGATCCTACATGAAATGCCCAGGTATCTACTAATATGCCCTGTCTGTTTTACCTTTTTTTTTTTTTATATAAAAAGGTAAGACAGTGTTAAGATAGACAAAGGGCACATGGAAAAGATTACACATATAAGGTGCTAACAGAGGCTGTCACTGTTATCACAGCATTTTCGCCATTAATGGCTCTCGCAATACAAAAAGGAGGCTAGTGTGGGCCTACGCACACATGAAGTCTACTTTGAGGTGGTACTTCTTGATTTGATATCTTATGTTCTTTAAACTAAACGTGAAGGAGGATTCAGAACGGCATACTTTTAGATTCTAAGCACAAAGAAACGAAATCGCTGCAGCACCCATGCAACACTCATTCGGTCAATTTTACTACTACTAGCAAGTTTAAAATGGGTCAGCCTTGTAGTACCGTAGTGCTTGTAGTGGCAGCTGTGTGCCTGCAGCAGTATTTTAATCCTGTCCAGGGGAGCTACCGTCGTCTTTGCACACATGCCAGCAACACCTGTACAAAAAAAAAAAAAAAAAAATGCAAATTGGTTAGCCAATTATCTGAAACTCTTGCAAAGTCCTCTAAAGCAGCAGAAAGTATAAAAAATAAGAGCTCTGAAACCAGTTTAGTGTGTGACGCCCCAAGGATGTCCACATGCTTGCTTAATCCACCTCAATAGTACAAATTAAATATGACAAAGTATATTTATTTGTGGGTGGTTATGAGGAGTTAGAATAAAACTCGTTAGCTGTGGCTTTCAACTTTTGTGTAAACTGGGTTCCATCAATTTCTCTGTGTTGCAATTGTGCAATTCAAATGACACTCTTTAGCCATCAATTGCAGTAGTCATGTTTACAGCCCATCAGCTCATGGGGCCCCCCACCCTCCCCCATTTTCTTTTTTTTTTTTTTTTTTTTTATTTATTCATTTATGCAGCACGTGCACATCGTTCGCCGTTATCAGCTAGCTATGGAAAGACAGAGCGACCTGTCACACTGAAGGGCACACAAGTATGTTGATGGGAATTCCGATGAACGTATATTTCATACCGATGTGTCTTCCTACGCAAGAGTCAACGTTTCCAAAACTGCACACACACACACAAAAGAAACAATGGGAAAATGGCGGAAAACCCGCATGGTTGGTCAGAATTATTTGCAGCGATGCTGTACGAGGAAATATTTGTAACACACAACTCTGCTAACACGTCCAAACCGATCGAACGTGATTGGCGCGGTTTTTCGGATAACAAACAACGAGATATAACTGCGATCGAACCGAGCTAGCGGTGAGCAGGAATTAGCTTACGGAGCGTACAGACGTGCAGTCGATGTAAAACGGCGCAGGTTTATATACCGGGTGTTTTTGCGAAGACTTTCAAAAATCCTAAAAATTAGGGCGATTGAAAAAAGAAGAAACTCTTTTCGGTAACAATTACTACCAGCCACGGCGGACGTCAGGAATTGCCAAAAACCTACTAATTAGCCAGATAATTAAAACTTGTTAATTAACTTTTTAATTAGTGGAAATAGACATATGATTCCAATTAGAAAGTTGCTGAGCGTTATCGAAAACCACTAAATCAATCATTTTCAGAAAGACTTTAAGCGCTTGAGAAGAGTAGTAGCGCACTAAAATTACCACTCGTGGAGCAGGTACAAGGCTGGGGCTAGATAAGAGGCGGAAAAATCGCGCGGGCTCCTTACCGCAAACGCTAGCCTTGTACCTGCTCCACGAGTGGTAACTTTAGTGCGCTACTACTCGTCTCACGCGCTCAAAGTCTTTCAGAAAATGACTGATTTAGTGGTTTTCGATAACACTCAACAACTTTCTAATTGGAATCATATGTCTATTTCCACTAATTAATTATCTGGCCAATTAGTAGGTTTTTGGCAATTCCTGACGTCCGCCGTGGCTGGTAGTTTGTTCCCGAAGAGAGTTTTTTTTTTTTTTTTTTTTTTTTTTTCAATCGCCCTAATTTTTAGGATTTTTGAAAGTCTTCGCAAAAACACCCGGTATATTCAACTCCAAACCCGCGCTTGCCTCAGATGCTTTTGAAACAGTACCATAGAAAACATTTCGCACTAATATAAAAAATAATTGCAAGGAAAAAAAAAAAAATCGCGAGAGACACGAAACAGAAATTATTACAGAACAATGTCTCGAACACAGCTGTGTTTGATACTCTTGCTGTCCTGTCCGTTTTTGTTTCCTGTGTTTCCGGGATTTTTAAAAATAATAAAGCATCGCCTGCCCGTTAACTCTTATTTCAGTAACAGAGATGTCCTGCTTTTCTACGGTTGACACTTTGTTTTGTTTCGCGCCTAGCTAGCTACTTTCATTGGCACCGTATACAGGTGTGGCGCATGCAGAATTTGGTTGCCGATGGCTTTTACCCGCACGGAAAGCCCGAGGGATGCCCGCGAGCCTTGACCTCGGAAGAAGACAGTGGAATGCCGAGTGACCGATTCGGGTCAGCATCTCTTTTTTCTTCAGCGCGGCCGTGAACTTGCGGCGAATTGGGCGAGAATGTTACGCCGTGTCAACCTACTTTAGCGTGCGAGCTCACTACAACAGCGCGCTTACCTCCAGCGAAGAAGGATTTCAGCAGAAAGTTCGGTGATCGCAGGGCCGTTTTGTCCGACATGGTCAGTCTGGGCGTGGGCTGATCGACGCGATCAGCTGTGTCCTGGGGGCCTAGTTTTGACGTAAATATTCAAGAAAGGCAACGCCGCATCCCTACCCACGGATGATTCGAGCGCGTCTGCTATCTCTTTCCTCTTTCTGCTGAGTGCTGCTGAGATCCCACCTGGGAGCGCGTTCGTTTGAACCAGTGAGTGACGCTAGGGTGACGCGAGTTTTGAGAGTTACACGAGCACACCTGCTTTGGCCAACATTGGCTTCGAATCCTTTAGTCTTCTTAAATACTTTTAACCCGGAATATTTGTTAAAATATCTTAGGGCAGTAAGCAAATTGATTCTGAAAGAAAGCAAAAACTCCAAAACCTTGGACAACAAATGCTTTTTCGCTCGCATAGTGTAAGTATATTTATGTTAAAGCTTAATTTGTGAAGCAAAACGAGCGCACTCTTAAAACAACTTTTTTTAAATTATTTAAATTAATTAATTTATAAATCATATTATCCACTACTTCACCAATACATTTGTTTAAATGTCTACAACTTTTTTTTTTTTTTTTTTTAAGTTTCCTTTGAAAAAGTCGCGTGGTCGCGTGCCGATGGTGGCGCGTCGAGCGCTGAAAGAAAAATGGAGGACGTTGACCAGATTGCGCGCAGGCGAGAGATTCGGAAAAAGAAGATATTGGAAAACTCTGACGCCCGATGGAAGAAAATCGTAGGACAAGAGAGGCGTGATAGCACGGGTAACCCTTTATACCTTTCTTGAACGTCTACCTCGCGATGGTTCTTTGTCATTCGGCGCAGATGTAAGCCTAAAGCCGGGACGAGAGTTGTACACATCGACATAGTGTGTTACATGACAAATCTGGGCTGTTTTGCGAATTGATTCGTACATCTGGCACGAAATGGAAGCAAATATCTTCAAGAAGTGCTCACCTCGAAAGCGCTCAATCGTAACGAGCGTGAGAGTGCATCTAACGAATCGAGCTTTCTTTTCGCGAAGAATGACGTGCCGGTCGCGGTTTTTGAATCGTTTCCGATATAAACCTAATCGTGGTCGATGAAACCACCCGCTGGTTGATTCGAGTCGGTCGTATTCTTTGTACTCTTGCGTTTGGAATAGTTCCCCTCGCCCCGTGTTCGACGAGGTTCTGCCTAGAGATACGCCAACGAAACGGTGTACACACCGTGTATACAAAAAAGTATCGATTATTTCTTGCTTGTTATTGCTTGCCATCGACGCAAAGTATCGTCCGGCGACACGCGGTGCGTGCCGTTCGAGCGGGCCATGTTAGTCACGGGGCGGATGTGCTGACGAGCGGCAATGACGCCGGGATCGAGCGCCGTAGCGACCGGCCCTTTCGAACTCGCCGTCACGAGACGGTACGAGAGCGCGTTTAGCATATCTGGGCGCGCTAGCGGAACGAATGATAAGCAGCGGCAGAGGCAAATGCAGGTGCTTTCTTACGTGTAGGCAGTTATTTCTTTGTGTTGCGCGCCAGTACAGATTATGACACCGATTTTGTGTTTCTGAAACTTGGCGAAATAGAGTCTGGAAACCAGAACCCCAAGGGACATAAATCGGGGTATACTCTCTTGAAAACTGTTTTATAACAACTTTAATGGAGGCTGATGTAACCTTTGCGTCATGATGTTACGTATGAATCCTAATGGCCCACAGTTATTCGTGACAAGCTTTTGACCGTGTGTTTCTGCAGAGCTTCTAAAGGATGATGGGACCCCACCCTTATCGGCACAAGGCCCAAGGCTGTCTCAACAGCAGGAGGTGCCATCCCGGTCTCCCGGGCTACATTCTACATTCGAGGCTACATTCTCTGCCTCAGAGGAGCAGTCCAGGCGGTCTTATTCCTTTGGGGAGGCAAGTGTCGCTTCTTTTTTTAAATCTGAGCATGTAACAAGGCCTCCCTGTTTTTAAGCCAATCGGTCGTACCTATGGTTGTGGTCTTGCCGTGACTTGGAGGTTTGTTGACTGCAGTTGGGCCACCAAACGTTGAAGGGAAAATCCGGGTGGAAGAACTGACTGGTGTTTTTGCACGTGGAATTGTTGTGGCGCCGAGCAAGGGCAAAAAATATGGGATTCCAGCCGACCAAGAAGAGCACGAGATAATGGTGCAAGGGTCGTACTGGGTGTACTGTGCCGACAAAGTAACTGGCGTGAGCGTGTGGCTTTATCTAGCTTCTCATTTGCATAGGGTGACCACCCGTCCCGCGACTTGCGGGTCTGTCCCGCATTGAGGGCTTGTGTCCCGCGTCCCGGAAGAAATATCAAAATCTTCAAAATGTCCCACATTTCACACTGTCGTAAAATTTACCACAGATCTCATGGCTTTGCCGAAAAATGGGGCACGGGGAAGCGCGGAGGTCGCTGGTAAACGTGTGAATCGCGATGGTACACCATAGTAGGAGGACTGACGTGCTCCGCTGTGTGCCTCTCTTCCCTTGGTGACAAAATATTGCGAGATTAAAATTGCTCACCAAAAGTTAAAAGTAAATAAATTATTGTAATGAATCGTGCTGCGGCAGTGCAAAAAAAAATGTTGTAGAAAGTTTTCTTCTTTTTTTTTTTTTTAAGTGAAGACGATTACACAAGGCAAAAAGAAACTCGCAACAGTCAACAACAACATAAGGTTCGCAATTTCTGTCCGTCTCGGATTAAAAAGCATCATGGTAAACGTCCACCAGCTCAACTGTGCACTAAGTTCTTTTTTGCAGTTGCCACAGTCGAAATGTGATACCGTTCTTCTCTTACAACTACAACCCGTCCCGTCCCCCACCCCCACCCCCTTTCCTCCGGGTCAGCCTGTCCCGCATTTCGTTAGCAGGGAGGTGGTCACCCTACATTTGCACAAGTGCATGTACAAATGAAGCGCTAGATTGGGACACATGCTAGGTTGGATAGCGTTGTACATTAAGTATGAGAAGTACATATGTGTGCAAACCATGTATGTCGTCAGCTGAATTACCAAAGTATCGGGGGAACTTTTGATTTTCTGTCACATGCAAAGTTTGATGCTCTCGTCATTTGGCCCCCTCTCGTAAAGGGTGAAGGGCACAAATGTCGCAGGCATTGGTTCGAGCATTGGTTCGAATTATGTTTTCGTTAGATTGACACTTCTGAGTGAGAAGTAAGGCTCAAGCTTTTACTTTGCACTAGTGCTGTACTCAAATGTTGGTCAGAAAAAGACACAGTGATGTATCGTGCACGCTACTTCACACCGTGTTAGTGGCTCTACTTACGTCATCCAAGGTGTGGGTACTGCGACATAGAGTAGACTCTCATTAACTCAATTTCCAGGAACTCACAGATTTTAGTTTAAATTATCAGAAGTTTGAATTATAAAAAATTTATCTAAATATGATACTAGACAACATTATGATTTGTTACATGGATAGCTACACATAGAATTTTGCCAGTTTCCTCTACATAGGCCTAATTATAAGCAAGCACAGGCATAACACATTGGTGAAAGAACTGTGACATTAAGTTTATTCATTCGGCAAAAAAGTTGGCGATTGTGGACTGTTCCGTCAGCACATAAGATCTCAAAACAAAATTTTGAATAACAGCCAATGCAAGTCACTCTTTACGGGACTCTTCCTTTGCAGACAAAAACTTCCGAAGCTGAGCGATGTGCTCAAAGACCTCTGTGGGTGTGACAGTTGATAGTGGGTCATCCCTTTCTTCATTGTCATCTTCACTCTCACTGCTGCACTGTGCTGGCATTACTTCCTGCACTATGTCCTCTAATGAGTCATCGCGACAAACACACACATCGTCGTCAAGACTAGCATATACTGCCAGCTCGGTGTTCAGATTATGTGCTTCAAGGCCAGAAAGCATGATGTCAGTGAGCTGTTCCTCGTCCTCTATGTCGTCTTGGTCATCATTGCTAGTCTTGAAGCACATAATGTGAATGCTGTTTTCCGCTAATGTTTGCCCGCTTGAGCCCCGTTGAGTGCTCTTCTTTCCGAGCACCGGTGCACCGCGGAGAAGCAACACTTGCGAAAGCAAGCTCCGTGTGTATTGCTTCTTTGCGGTGCACCGGTCATCGGAAAGGAGCATACTCAACTGGGCCACGAGAACAAAAAAGTATGAATTAAGCGAAAACACCGTTCACATTAAGTGGCTTATTAATACATTAAAAACATAGCGGGACAACCAAAATTTTTCATGTCTGTTTGAACTAACCGGAAGTACAAAATATCCGAGTTTGGATTATTGTGAGCCTACTGTATTGTCTGTGGAGAATGACAAGTGTGTTTGTTGAAATGCATCAACTGGGAGCTGTTAGCAAGCCTATGCTCAGAAGTATTGGAAGTAGCTTTAGCAGTGGGTAAACACTTCCCTCACATTCACTTAACACCAGTAAGGGCCAACGGTTATCGTCGTCGAACAATAAGTTGCTTTGCCCACAGCTTACACTACCTTGTTTCAGCTTCCGTCCGAGCGCATCCAAAGGCTGAGGGACGGTTTGCAACTTTGAGAAGAGCATTCCTACGCACCACAAAGTAGTTTGAAAAAGTAATTTTTCTAAAATAACTGTTTTGTGCATAAACATTGCACAATATTCAAGATGTGTACTGCTGAGAAGGATTTGCAACTAAGGGAATACAATACCTGAAGTTTATGTTTTTATTAATGTATGTAAATGCATGTGGTTTGGTGAAAACATGCACATCCGCTGGCAGCACGGCTGCTGCGCTTGGTTTTTCTGTGTGATTTCGTTCCCGTAATGGCCAAATCATGCGCTTCGCTGGTTTCCTCACTGAGTTGCTTCAAAACGTCCTTTCGCAAAAAAACGTTTGGGCGTCAGGCGTGAGAGGTCGTGATGAATGTCTGCTTTCAAATTCGGCTGGAGACTCCGGCCGCGTAGTACCGCGAGTGCGGTCTAAACACGAAAAGCGTCCGGGCCACTACAGTTCACTGATACGCGTTGAAATCAGGGCACCCCTTTGCCTGTCGATCACATTGAACACCGAGAAGCTGGTGAAAAGGATTGTGCCTCGAGCCCTGGTATATCCAGACAATACAAGAAAACATTGCACCTTTGCATTAATTCCATTTTAATCACGGCCGGGTCATCGGGCACCTTGCAAAGTGCACTTACATCTTGAAACTATGCCGAACAGGTGAAAAGCTCGGACACAGACGCCAGCGGCCAGCCTACGTACTGACATCCCCTGTGACTAAATTTCAGAACGTGAAAGGGCACTTTTCAAACCTGTAGCGGACGACAAACTTGGCGACCATGGGTGGTGCGAACGACCTGCGGCACAGCGGAGTGATACAAAAGTGCAGGCGAGATCGCATGACCTATTGCCGGCGTGTGACTGGCTCCGGCCACACATAGCTTTGGCTGCTCTCGGACGGAAGCTGAAACGAAGTATAGTGCCCACGTACAGATATGCCCTGTACCCATGACGGAGCCTCTTGCCCGAGCAGCTCAGGCAATACGACTGAAATTGCCATTTTTATTTATGGAAATATGAAGGAACGATTGAGGCAGTTCCCGGACACATCTGTTCAGAATCAGTCACCTCCTATCACACGCAGAATCTGATTACACGCAGCCAAATCACGGCGAGCCTTGGCTGCATGTGATGGAGGCTAGACGTTCGGAAGACGCACACTTACATTCTCATTCCATCTGTGACTATAACGAGGCACTCGTCTTGTTACAGGCCAGTCCGACGGACCTGTGGAGAGGTGAGACGCTCCCAGAGTCTTTGGCATCCGGCACCCCGCCCCGCACGTCGCTGTTGGGGGAGTCTCGGACGCGTTCCCTGGATGAGACGGCCAACGGGATGCCCCGGCTGATCTCGTCGGCGCCCCAGCAGCGCCCTGCCTCCTACTCGTTCCCCAAGAAGGTGTCAGACACCGAGTCCCGGTCGTACTCGCGTTGCAAGCAGGACTCGCGTGAGGACGGCGGCCCCCTGGCCTTCCTTCTGGACTGTCTGGGTTCGTGCGGGCCGAGCCTGGTGCGTGCCTGGCTGCTCGGCCTCATGGCCACCTGCGTTCGGCTCTGGCTGGCCCTCGGGACCGCCTGGTCCGGCCTGCAGGTGAGCACGGCGGGCAGGGCCGATACTTTTTTCTTTGGACGCAGCGTCTCGTCGACCGCCACACAGTGCCGTCAACGCGAATGCGATATATTATTTCGAAAGGGTATTGACGGCTTCGAGGCAAAACGCCGGCCTATTGAACCCAGAGTGGCAGGTTTGAATCCCGGTTGAGGTGCCCGCAGTCGGGCTAAGGCTTGTTGCGGAGAAGGCCGAGACTTTAATTGCGCGTCGAGCAATCCGCGGGTGGTCGAAATTAATCTTTGGTCCTTTGCCCCAGTGTGCCGGACGACCTTCGTTGGTTTGGCGTGTAAATCCTTCAAGTTTGACTTTGAGCGTATTGGCAGGTATTGAATTTTGCTATGGTGCCCAAAATGTGTCTTCTGCCGGTGTGTTTGACGTCCCATACCGTAGGAAGCGGCCCCGAAGTGGGAACAGACTACGTACAAGAAGTGAGTGTGTCGAGCTGTCGGTGGTCACAATGCTGGCGACTGATTGTGGAGCTGCTGGCGAGTGAGGCGAGTGGACGTGGAGGTCGCCGTGCTTGCAGTGTCCCATTTCTTGCGTTTGCTGTAGCTTCCGTTGATCGTCTGGCCACAGAACGAGTGTCCGTTCCAATGCCGTTCAGGATTGCCGTGGGCAACGGCGTGACGCATGTACGACGCCCCCTTGCAGATATCGACAGATTACAAATAAGGATACGGTAAACTCGCCAGTCAGAGACACGAGCATAGATTTAACACTTAGGTTAGTGCCCCAAAAGAGCACTTTTTACCACACTGGGTAGTATAGTTACGACGACAACCTTTAGATTCTAAAAAAGAAAAAAGAGGAATTGGCAGTTTCACGTTCATGCTAACAGTGTTGGTCTATGCGCAGTAGAATTTCTCTCAGGTAACATAGGTTTTTTCGGGAAAAATCCTTCACTACCTTAGTAGTGTGACTAAATTGGTATCTCAAGTGCCCATAGTGAGTTGCAATAGTACAAGCACACTAACCTTTCATCGCCATACTGGTCTACTAAAGAGAGGTTGTACTGTGGTGGGAGGCAGCCTGGGCTATGTGGTGCTTTCCTCTGGCCATGTTTAGTAGGTTCTTGAAATCCCATTTTAAATTTCCAAAATCACCATTTTCTACGGCTTCGCAAACTCTCATACTTCTGGGCAACCCTCGAAGGCCCTTCAGTTTTAACTATTATAGCTGGACGCGAAGTCCAAACAAAACATGAAGGTGGTTGAGGCTGCTAGAAAGAACTTGAAAACGTTTCATAGCTGAATGTGACATTTTGAGTTGGAGGGCTTCTGTTGAGCCTGTTAGAATTATTATGCTTAGTCTCGTTGCTTTAGCTTTGTTCGGGTAAATACTTTCAAGCGTTGCCGGGTAATTTTTCTGTGTCTCATTGAGAAGGACTTTGAAGGATTGAGAAGCAAAAATGTTATACGAACCTATGATTGGCAATTTGGCTTTTTCGGCGGACTCGTGCCCTTGGAGGCAGGGGCAGAGGCCAATGGTAGTTACATATTCTAAAGTTGGACTGCCTAGCGAAAACTGCAAAATTGGGAGTGCAAAACAGCGCATCATTGCATTGTGACCTTTGCAAAAATAGTCTCCCTTTTTGGTGTTGTGCACTCAACTATCCTTTGTGACAATGTTGCTCCTGAAATGCTAAACTTCTTAGTTTCTGGGTCCTTGAAAAAGTTTCGGCGTATTAACGAATCCATTCAAGGGAAAGTCTAAAAATGTGTGCTAAATGTGACTATGCTAGGCACTTTGTTATCATGGTGGCACTTACTACCTACTGGTTTACTTGCAGACAATACTACTGCCTTTCTGCCTTCTCGAAGCAGCCATTTATAGCTACCCAACATCCCTGACAAAGGTAAGCCTCTGAATTTCTTTTGTCTTAATCAGTAACAATTTACTGAAGGTCGGTGTGCTGTTGTTTTTCAGCTCTTTGGTTGATTAAATAGTCTTACTTTCTGGTTGAAGAAACAACTGTTATTGTTGTAATTGAAATTCAGGGCAATTTGTTAGTTTGAGCAGCATTTCTTAACAGCTACAGTTCACTAATTCTCGAGCAAGAACAGAAGGATTTATTTTGTTCTTGTTTTGAAAATAAATCCTTCTACAGAAGGATTTATTTTGTTCCGCCGTCAATTGAGTGGGCCGCAAAAATTCGTTTCTCGACCTTTTTTGCTACGACTGGTTTACCTTTTGAACCGCTTTCTTGCGGAACTAAGCAATCTGGCTTTCGTCCACTACCTTTGTTTTATTAAAACAAGTGCCACAATAACCCCCATTGTGCCATTTCACTTTTTACGAAAGTACTTGTGAGTCCGCTAAAAAATAACAGCTTTAACACGGAATGTGGCCATTTTATCATATTTTTGTCGCGAGAATTTTTTACGCTCTTGACTCCGGAAGCAGCCCTTGACTACTTTCTAAGTCAAGAGCGTTGCAAGTTGTTGCAACAAAAATATAATAAAATGGCCAGTTGTTTTAACAAAACACTGTGTCCCTCATCGGGAAGCTAACCACCGACCTCTTGCCCTGTAAGACGATGCGCTATCCCCTACTTTAGCATAGCTCAGTGGCAGAACTGCTGCACCATTTGTGCCAAACTGCACCAGAATAACCTGCTACATGGTGCTCCAAAAGCTGCATTTGTTCTGTGTTTGCGCCAAAGGGGAGCTGTCCTCGAAAAGGAAACAAGGTGTCTGGCACGTGGCATTGTTGGCGATGCCACGGAAAATGAACAAAGTACATACACTTGTTCTTTCTTTTTCGGATGCCTCAGTACAATGCGCAAAAAGTAGGGTTGCGCGAATATTCAAATTTTCGAATAGTAGTAGTTTCAAACAATACGCTATTTGATATTTGCTTCAAAACAAACTGCAATGTTCATACTTTTCAAAGTGTTGATCGCCGTGGGTTAGCCCCCTTGAATGCACTTCTCCATGAGCACCGGTGCACTGCAGAGAAGCAACACCCGCGGAGCTGACACAGCGATCTTGCGACTCGCTTCGGTGCAGTGCAGCCGTGTGCCTAATGTATTAAAAATAAAAAAAGGAAATGTTGTGATTCTTAATATTTGCATAGCAGTAAAGTCTTCATAATTTAACTGTGGCTATTATGCAAGTGTATGTGTTAGGCAGTGATGTTTAACAACCTGTGTTCATTATTTGTGCTTGTTTTTTTTTTTTTTCTTTATTCAAAATAAAATAAAATTTTGCATTTACAGTCGCCGTTTTTCTAACTTCGCAGGGATGGAAAAAACGTCCGAATAATAGAGCAGTCCAAAAAATCAGCATATTAAGAAACTTGCCCTTATTACGTCTAAGCGGGCTTAAAAAAGCCGTAAAAAGTGCCTTGCTTCAGGTTATGCATATGTGGCTTATTTTTGGTTACGTCTCTGTTTGCGTTCAACAACTTTCTGTTTGCTTGAGAATCGAAGCCCTCCTTTTTAGCGTCATAGTTGAGTACTTTCTGCGCTTCTTAGTGACACATCGCGACGGCGGAAGAACAGGTTGGGCAATGATGTCCAAGCCACCATAGTCCGAAAACACAATTTATTGAGACGAGAGACGCAAGTCCATAACCTCTCGCAAATGCGATCAGTTTTTTTTTTTTTTTTTAGGCACTGTTATTGCATATAACCAGATTTCATCTTGTTTATTTCAACGTATGGTATGTACTGTACTGTCATTCTAAACCCTGGCATGTGCCCAGGTCCAGCTGAGCAGATCGGTGTGGTTGACGTAGGCCTAACCAATGCATTTCGGTTTCTGTGCGGTTCCGCGGTAATCGGTAAAATGCAGCGAAATGCTGCATTTTACATAATGTGGCGCAACGCACAATAAGTATATTCAGGCATAGAAATGATTTGTCTCCTTTTCTAGAGCTGCTTATATGTCTGTACCTGTAAGGCGTGAGAGCGAGATGAATGTTGCTCGTCACAATTTCGACCGCGTGCCGGCACCGGTGGCGAAGAAAAACGTCTCACTGTCGTTTCTCCGTTCTCGGCAGCAAGTTTTGTATACATGAACTTTATTTGATGGAAAAAAAAAAACATGGGTGTCCAATGCCACTTTATTGTTTGGAAACAAACACTAACTAAATTGGATATTATTAACAAGACAGGCACAAATGCAGTACAGGAGCCTAATAGTATGGCGCAAGGAGTGTCAGTTTGTTTCCCGTGTTCCGATAACAAAACCTCAATGGAGACACGTTGAAGATAATTGAATCGAACATACTCACTTGTGTGGTGTGTGCCATTATGACCGTAATTATGGGCACCAAATGTGTCTGTACCGAACAGCACTTATGGCATCAATCTCTTGCGGCGATGAAAACATGCACTTGTATTTCCACGTGCACCATGCATGTCTATTTTCATCGTAATCCGGAACCCCCGCAGGGGGCACCTGTGAAAGCAGGTGTTTGGAGAGTGGCGTCTCCACGGACCCCGAGCTCCGCAGGGGGCGCCTGCACCTTAGGTGCTAGGTGCTTGGTGAGTAGCGTCACCACGGACCCCAGCCACTTTGGCGACACCACAGACCCTGAGTAAAAAGTGGCTAAGACCCACCCACGTCTGGCTGTGCGTGGCGAGCCCGTGTCCAGGGAAAAGGGCATCCTGGTGGTTGAGCTGAGCCCGGGGTAGGTTTGGACCCTTCGGGGCCCCCCGGGCGAGGCAACACACCACTTTGGCCCCTGCTTCCTGTAGACGGGTGTCCTGGCTTGGCCCGACCAGGATGATGCAGTCAGTCGCCATTTCTTCTACTATCCCCTCTTTTCTTTCTCTTTCCTCCTTTCTCATATTCTTCGTTTTCACCTTCTTTGGCGGTAAGGGCTAACCTTGGGTGGCGACAGAACTCTCTCTTGATCCACACTTGGTTATAGCTTCCTAGTAGCACTGGTAGAGTAGCATACTCAGACAAGCCAGACCTGTTATGAGATGTTACCTATCCCCTTGTTTGACTCCGCGGTGGGTGGTGCGCTACGGATGCCGAAGTTTTTGCCCTTCATATGGGTTCTAAGCAAAAAACCTCCCCCGATCGGACCTTGAAAAGGGTCCGGACCGAAGTAGTTACCAAAGACTCATCAGCTACAGCCCAGAATAGCTTCGGCCGCTTTCTGGTAATGCATTCGGAACAAAATGGAAAACCACTTGCCAAGCTTTCACCCTTTCTTATTTCAAAGACTCTAGAAAACTTAATTGGTCAAAACTTTAAAGCAAAGAAGTTAGCATCTGGTGACCTGCTTGTTGAAGTACAAAACGGAGTTCAGAGTGTGGTTCTCTTAGATTTAAACAAGATCTCGGATTATAAAGTATCTGTCACTCCACATCGCACCTTGAACAGCTGCCAGGGCGTCATTTCAGAGGAGGACCTTCTAGAATCTAGCGAGGACAAAATCTTGGAGGGCCTTTCCGAGCAGGGAGTGGTCGCTGTGCGACGAATCTCAATACGCAGGGATGGACAGGAGAGACCCTCAAAACACCTGGTCCTCACTTTTGCATCCACCGTACTGCCTGAGAGCATTAAAGCAGGCTATCTCCACTGCAAGGTGCGCCCTTATATACCTAACCCAAGGCGATGCTTCAAGTGCCAAAGATTTGGCCACAGCTCGGTACCCTGCCGTGGAAAAACAATGTGTGCTAAATGTGGAGGCACAGACCATCCAGCCGACACATGCGAAGGTACACTTCTCAAGTGTATCAACTGCTCTGGTTCCCACCCCACCTACTCCCGAGCCTGTCCAAAGTTCCAAGAAGAAAAGAAGATTTTAGCTTTAAAGATAAAAGAGAACCTGACTTACCCTGAGGCAAGGAAACGATTTTCCTTCCTCCAAGGAGGGACTTATGCCGAGGCGGCAGCCAGGGGGGCTGCGCCGCCACTCAAGGCATCGGTGGGCACTCAGTACAGTCCTCGAGACTTTGGGTGCTCCACCAGCCCCCTAACCCCCAGCGAGGCTCCTGTGGGTTCCCAGACCCCAGCGGCCCCGCCAAAACTTCTACGTGCCAGGACGATGCCTCATCGTCTTGGCCCGAAGCCTCGAGTGGTGCTAGACACCACTCCCTCTCACAGCAGTGAGGAACCCACTCCTTCCACTTCCCAGCGGGAGGAGGTGGCCATGGAGGTATCTGTCGATCTGACAGAACCACCTCCACCTGCCAAGGGAGGCACAAAATCTGCCCCTGAAAAAGGGGGTCAGAAGAAAAAACCTCCACGTGTCACTGCCCCAATTAACCCAAGCTAACCTTTGTCCATTTGGTCACAGCTACGAACCCCACATTTTAACTACATCTTAAGCAAGCAAACAAATGGGTCATGTTGGCTTCCTGCAGTGGAACTGCCGGGGTCTACTACAAAACATAGATGACGTTCATTATTTTCTGGACGAGCTGCAGCCTATTGCTGTCTGTTTGCAGGAAACCCATCTGAAGAACACTCACACTGATATTTTACGCCGTCACCGTGTTTTTAGGAAAGATCGTTTGTCAGCCCATTCTTCTGGTGGTGTTGCTGTGGTTGTGCGGAGAGGAGTAGCATGTGCTGAGGTCCCTCTTCGTACACCACTTGAAGCTGTGGCAACCCGTGTTTTAGTTGACTGGCTCATTACCATTGTGTCATTATATCTTCCCCCACAAGTTCCACTTCATATTTATGAACTCGAAGGTCTTATTGATCAACTGCCAGAACCCTTTTTAATTCTAGGCGATTTTAATGCTCACAATCCTATGTGGGGCAGTGACCGACTTGATTCTCGTGGCAAGATCATAGAGCGTCTTTTACTGTCTTCAGGTTTGTGTCTTTTAAATAACAAAGAACCAACATTTTACAGTGCACCTCATAACTCTTTCACATCCATCGACCT